CCCCCCCCCCCCCCCCGTTCAGATCACGCAAACGACGAGCACAGGCGGTGATCACCTCTATTGACGGAGCAGAAGCGCCAATTCGACCCATGCAAGATATGCTGTCGCCATTGACGGCCCCTCTTCCGACTGCCCATCTTCCTTATCGCTTCTCGCTTTCGAATTAAACCCACCGTTCTTGTCGCGCTCATCAACAACCCCCTCGCCCTATCAACACACACCCCTGACGGCTAGATCTGTTCGAGGAATGTGCAGCGGACTGCCTGAACAAATAACGTCAATCGCATTTTGAACAATCATAATGGCCTCTGAAAACTCCGATAACACTCCATCGCACGTCCATTCGGACTCGACAAATACTGTGTCGCATGACACCGACTCAATGGTCACCGTACCTTTGACCTCCAACTCAGAAGACACACAACCCGACTGGCGGACACTGAATATTCCTCCCACACCGATCGACATAATCACTCCGACGAGCGGGAGCTTAAGCGACGAAGAGACTGATGCAAGGACCACACCGACCCAAGACCCACAAACATTCGAGTTACAGCCAGTTGCATACCGTGATGATGCCAGCTCGACTCGATCCCGCCGCAGTAGTGGGGAACATGATCGACAAGATGCGGTGGATTGGGACGAATTGGAGAAGACGGAAGAGCAAGAGCCCCGCTGTGAAGGATCGGACGAGGTATGTCTCTCAGAATGAGCTGGTGGAGTCACTCACAGACTGACATGAGCCAGTCAACCGCTCTGCTTCTAGCACGCCTTGAGCAGGAGAACAATGCGCTGGCGACGAATCCCAAATCGGGACTACCCAAGAAGACTCATGCACAGCAAGTGTCGCAAAGACCGTCTCGATCTCAGTCCCTGCATCAGATCAAACGCCTGATCGACGAGGACCCCCGGTCATCCCTCCGATACTCGCAACTACCTCCCCCGCCTATGACTGAGTTGGAGTTCTGGGCAGCTTTGGTCGCAGATTATCCACAGACAGCCCAGCGTCTCCCAACCTTGACCTCGAACAAGATCAGAAGCGGTGTTCCTCCCCCGCTCCGCGGCGTCGTGTGGCCCAGCTTGGCTGGTGCTCGAGACTCGACCTTGTTATCAGAATATCAGAGGCTATGTGGCGAGACAAGTCCGTATGAAGGGTTGATCGGCAAGGATATAGGGCGTAGCTTCCCTAATGTGGAGATGTTTCGTGACCCTAATGGCGAAGGACAGCAGATGCTCGGTCGGGTCTTAAAATGTTTCAGTCTCTACGACACGAAGATCGGCTACTGCCAAGGACTAGGCTTTGTGGTTGGTCCCTTGCTTATGCACATGACGGATGCAGAAGCATTCTGCGTGCTTGTGCGGTAAGTTTTTACACCACACGCAACTTTAACGTCAATACTAATGTCACCAGACTAATGGATCATTATGACTTACGGACTTGCTACCTCCCCGACCTCTCGGGTCTTCATCTTCGAGTGTATCAGTTTCAGAATCTCTTGTCTCGTCTACGACCCAGCTTATTTGCACACTTGGAGGAACTCAACGTGGAGCCTGTCTATGTCTCGCAGTGGTTTTTATCGTTCTTCGCAGTCGCATGCCCTCTTCCAATGCTTCTTCGTATTTACGACGTGATCTTTCTTGAGGGAGCTTGCGAGACCTTGATGCGCGTGGCTCTGTCCCTCATGACGCGGAACGAAAAGAAAATCATGGCTTGCGCCGAGTTCGAGGACGTCATGCAGCTTCTGTTATCGAGAAGTCTTTGGGATACGTATGTGAATTGCCATAAAGACCTGGAAGCTTCAGCTAATGATCTGCAGTTACGCTTGCCATGCGGATGAGTTCGTCAACGACTTCGTCTCACTCACGTCGCTCGTTACGAAAGAAAGTCTTCAAGCCTTAGAAGCCAGCTACAATCAATCCCAGGGTGTGCCGACCGGTATCTCTTTTCCCCAGATGCAAGCAACGGCCTCACGATTCCTGGGGCGGCTCTGGGCCGGCTCTTCCCACAACTCCACCAAGTCGGTTAATCTCAACCCTAACGCCGCTAGCGCGGCTATCCGGCGATCGGCGTCTAAACAAAGCATGACATCCACACTTAACTCGGTCGAGTCGACATCCGATGCCAGCACAGCACCGACAGAGCTATCAACGGAAGCCCCGAAACCGCGCGCAAAATCGGCAATGTCGCAACACAAAGATCGTGATCTCCATACACAAATCGAGGATCTCTTGATGGCTCTGAGCGATCTCCAGCGCCAACATGCGGATCTCACACGTGAATTACAGCAAGAGCGGGAGGAACGCGAGGAAGACCAAGCGCTGGCCAAGTCAATGCTGCAGTACATCAAACAAACCAGCGACGAGCCTCCAATGGACCTGGTTCATAAGGCTGACGCACGCTTTGCCACGGTAGAATCTGCCAAGCATGTGCCGATGGACCAGACGAAGCAACAACTTCGCGATGACCTCAAGCGATGGAAGGAGATGCATGCCACGGAGGCCAGTCGATGCTCGGGCCTGACGCGCCGTATCGACGAGATTGACAAAGACAATTCGTCGTTGCGGGAGCAGCTCCGCGAAGCCCGTGGCCGCATCCAAGATAGCTATCGGGAGCGACAGCGCCTGGAACGCATGGTACGCGAGCTGCGGACTGTGAAGACCCGCAATTCGGATACTCCGCCTGAATCATACGGCTCTCCCACGAGCGATACAAGTGAAGGATATACGAGTACGGGCCTACGAGAACTCAAACTGGTACGCACCAATTCGCAGAAGAGCCAGAAGAGCACAACATTCAACAAGCGGTCGAGCAGCTTGGGGCTGCAGTCAGTCCTGGCAACGGAAAACAACAAGCCAGCAGCGGAAGAAGCGTTGCTTTTGGAACTGGTCAATGCAAAGACCGCGGAGGCAGTGGCACGCCAAGAACTCGAAGAGGTCAAGGGAGCGCTCGACGCACTGCGCAAGGTGGTGTCGCGAAATGGCCAGAACACAGAGGCTCGACTTTCATTCCTGGGCCGGTCATCATCTAGTCTGGGTATACCTTTATCTAAAGCACCCGCAGAGCCTGCGAATGGGGGCGGGCTCTTCAGTGGCTGGGGACGACGAGCGGTGTCAACAAGCAATGAGACTTTTGACGGTCGGTAGAGAATGGAGGATACATGCCTGACTATGTATGGGCTTCATGCGGGATTGTATCATGAGGTGTTTGATATTGATTTAGACGAGATTCGGTGTTGGGCTGTTATGATATCCATGTATACGTATATTTGTATAGCTAAACTAGAGTTGTTGCATTCTCTTACCTTAATTTCACGGTCCAAAAAAAAAAAGGAAAAAGCAGAGAAAACAAAGAAGATGAGATATCAAAATTCGTGACTTGAGTTATATGCTATTCGGTGGTCATGGAAGATTTCTGTGGAAACATCATCCTACATAGTAAGCTTCGTTTTCTGATGTCTGCGGCTATGTCTGCGGCTATGTCTGCGAAGGTGAATGTTAGATGATACTGAAGTCAATGTTTTAGAGACGCAAGTAGCGATCCCTTCTTCCTGTCTCTGCTCTTGCCCTTTGTGCCAAATACGTCTCTTCCCAAATGATCAGTTCTACAAAAGCACATGTGTGGGATAATGCAGATCAGGGTGAATACACTCTGAAGGTTCGAGCAACGACCAAGGCGGCTCTTGAGACGACGTATGTAAGGGTTGTAGACTCCCAATCCCGAGATGCAATTTGTTGAATGAATTCAATAAATCTGCTTCAGCTTGTACTGGACGCATAATGAACCTCTTCCTGACTCACTGTAAGTCATTGAAAGCCTTAAGAAGTACTCGCAGGCTGGAAGTAATATTAGGCCCATCCCGTATATCCCGCATTATTTCTGAGCCAGACATCCTCGACTCTTCCCGCTCCGTCGTATTCACCCTCATGGAAGCGTATACCCCCCGTCAATCACCAGATTCGCCCCAGTCATATAACTCGACGCATCCGACGCGCAGAACACATACGCCTAACCCACCCCAACGAACCCTGTCAGCATCCCAGTCGCCTTCCCCACAAGACAGCAGTCGGCGAAGAAAGAAAGAAAGAACTTACCCCCTTCAACTCATAAGCGTCCGCCATCCGCTGCGCCGGGATCATACTAAACCACTTCTCCCGCCACTCCTGCGGATGGATGTCCAAGATCTCCGTCTCGATGAATCCAGGCGAGATGCAATTCACGCGACAGAAATCCACCCACTCCACGGCCAAGCATTTGGCCAACTGCACGACGCCCGCTTTGGAAGCATTATACTAGACCGACCCCAACGAGGACGTTAATCATCAGCGCAGCCCTTGGATCGCCTATTTCCCAAGCTTCCCTCAACTCACTCCGGTCTAAGCACAAGAAGAGTACTGAGTGGCAAAGGACATACAGCAGCCTGCCTCTGCGGCACATTAACCAGCGTCGCGCTGACCGACGCCGTGAAGATGACATTCCCATGGCCCTGTTTCCTAAAAATCTGGGCGGCGGCCTGGGCGGTCCAGAAGGCGCCGTCGAGGTTGACCTTCATGATCTCGCGCCATTGGTCGGGCGTGTACTCCTCCGCCGGGATGTTGGAGACGATCCCCGAGTTCACCACGATGATGTCTAGCCGCGAGAAGTCGGTGGCGATCTGTTGGACGATGGCGGAGATGGAGGATTGGTCGGAGACGTCGGCACGGTAGGCGGTGGCTTTGATGTTGTGGGCGGAGGCGAGGGTGGATGCGATGGTGTTCGCGGTTTCCGGGGAGGAGCTGTTGTAGATTATTGCGATCTGTTTTGTTTTCGATGCGATTGTTAGGAGAGGGTCGGTTTGGAAGGGTGGTGAAAGCTCACGTCGGCTCCTGCTTCTGCTAGGGCTGTGGAGACTTCGAGGCCGATGCCTCGGGCGCCGCCTGTTGTTTGGCTGGTAAGAGGGTGTTGGATGGGTTGGGATGGAGGTGTTGTGCTGTACTGTACCTGTGATGGCGGCGACTTTGCCGGTTAGGTTGAAGGATTTGAGGACGTTTTTGTTCTCGGGTTTGGCGAGGACCATCTTGGGTGGATGGAGGGATGGATTGTGGTAGTAATGGGAAGTTGGTAGAAGTGAAGTAAAGCTTGGGTGGAGATCCTGGGGTTGTTTCTATAGAGTATAAAGGTGAGGGTGGAGAGGATCGAAAATACCCCGCCTGTCGGAGGCTCTCCGAGCTCTTCTCTGGTTTCTCCGCCCACTTCCTCCCTCGCAGTTTGAAGCTTTATCCCGGTACGCACATTTTGGAACATGGTCTATTGATGTTGGATCTGAAGATTTTATGGCCTCTTTGATAAGAATCATGTGCTGACAGTCCTGGTTTAGTCGATGCGAAGCCTGTTAGATCTATCACGAAAGAAGTAGCGAAGACTGTCACTGCCATTACAAGAACCAAACCGAATACCCCTAAAATATCACAGATGATGGAGAGCATGGTATTCCAGGGCTGATACGTTTCATGCTGATGCTGGACCTTGAATAGAATATGCTTTAAGGCGGAAGGAATGTGAATTTTGCGCCTACAAATGCCACCCGAGATCATACAAGATGAACAATGTGCTCCCACCCAGAACTGTGGATAGCATCAAGTAAGTTCAGGCAGAAGAATAATCACAGCCGAGACCCAATGATATTTGCAATTTCCGGCCTGGGAGCTTGATGGCGCTAAGCGTCCCCCTACGTGGCGGCCATGGCAGCCTATGAATTTCAACTCCAAGCGCGACACAGGAGCCTCCAACACGAAGAAGCTCATCTAATCAGAGTTAACGATAACAGTCCGTGTCTGTGGATTGGGCATCGCCAATTAACATGCCCGAGGCACGAGGCGTCAATGCCATTCGATGAACATCTGCCATCAGCCCGCATTGACAGTGTCGATCATCCCACCGGGTCGGGAATGCTGTCACCAGGAGCTCCCCTGCCACTGGCTGCACTAATCACAGCCCCGATAGTGCTTCTTGGGGTGAACAACTTTGCGTCATCGTCGCCGGGTCATGAGGCGGTTCATCTGACCGAAACTTTTGTAGTACAGTACCTGATGTTCGTATTTAGACGTTCAAGCTCCCGAGATGTGTGACTTCGAGAATAGAATCTGGAACAGCATTCGAATTGACTTTGCATCTATAGTCGACACGACCACTGACTGTATCGATGGTGGAGCGCAACATCAGTCTCCTCAGCCTAGATGGCGGGGGTGTCAGAAGCCTCTCTTCACTCTACATTCTCAAGCACATCATGGAGTCTATTGACGGCGAGAATACACCACGGCCATGCGACTATTTTGATCTCATCGGGGGTTCGGGCTCGGGCGGGTAAACTGATCTTGCGCAATGCCTGCGCATCGGTCCCTAGCTAAACTATCATAGGTTAATTGCGATCATGTTAGGCCGCCTCAAAATGGACATTGACCAGTGTATCAATGCCTATCGACGACTCCTGAAATTCGTTTTCGCCCGCAAAAGACATATCCCTTTCACGAGCAACCTGTGCCGGCAGTCGAAATATGATGGACGAAGGGTGGAATCGGCGATGAAAGCGATTCTCCACGAGCTTGGGTATGAGGACGATGTGCTTCTGAGGGACGTTGATACTTCGTGCAGAGTGTAAGCATGCTGTTGGACCGACCATTCTCTTCAAGTTGGCAAGACTGACCCGGGGTAGCTTCGCCTGCGTTACAGATGACGGTTCCAAACGAAACTCTGCCCCCTTGACGAGCTACCCCAGCAAATATTGCTCCAACGAGCTGTTCAAGACCGCGAAAGTGTGGCAAGCAGGGAAAGCGAGTATGTCCACACCACCACTGTTCGACCCCGTCCCGATCGGCCCCAGCGGGCGGCAGTTCTACAACAGCACCACCGAAGCAAACAACCCGGTGCGGGAGGTCTGGATAGAGGCCAGAGGAATCTGGCCCTCGGGGTCGTTGGACAGCCAGATCCAATGCCTGGTATCGATTGGTACCGGCGTGCCGTCGATCAAGCGACTCAACAAGTCGATGTTCGGCTTGATCAAGACGATGCCAAAGGACTACGTCGACACGGAGAGGGACATGAATAAGTTTATCAGGGAGCATACCGAGCTGGATGATGCAAGCCGCCTGTTTCGCTTCGATGTGCCAAACGGACTAGCGGAGATAGGTCTCGATAGTGTGGATGAGCTCGATACGATCATCGATGCGACCCAAGATTACCTCGCCAAGGAGCTTGTTTACAAGCAGATTCAGCGGTGCGGCATTGCTCTTGGTGGCTTTCGGTAGGCTGACTGCGTTTTGTCTTTTCCCGGCATTATCATCCCTGGGCTAACACGCGCAATGACAACTTGGGTATACATTATGGCATTGAGTCACCGAAGAGGAAGCTCAACGACTGAGAGGTCTGTATAGAAGTCCTTCATGAGGCGAACTGGGCCTCTGAATATGTGGTCTTCCTCGGGAGAGAACAAGCTGCCCAGGTCAAACGCTTCTATAGATCGTTGTGGGTCTGGTTTATCGTTAATTGTGCAACAGCAACGCCTACACACTCAGAATGTCTGAATCCATGTCTGTTATAGAGGAAGTAACCATATAGACAGACTAGATCACTGTTTGGCAAATCTGTCTCACGTGACGGGCGATCCTTGTCACCTTATCCAGCTACCTTTCTTGCCCCCATTCCGTCATTCCGATTGACGCTGGTTTTCATCGCCCACATGATGAGACACAGCTCTGACACAATTACTGAAGCTACAGATTTGTTAAGATTTATATGATGCTCAAGTCATTAATACGCTCTTTACCCCGGCTGAGACCGCCATGGAAGCCCCTTGATTTCTCCAACGCGAACTTCGTTCCTATCCCTTCCAGCCACAAAGTCGAGGAAGAGACTATGCCTGACTTTGTTGCGTCTCACTACCATCCGACTCGGATAGGTGAAGTTCTTAAGGGACAATATCAGGTCGTGGGAAAATCTGGATTCGGGACTAGCTCGACTGTGTGGCTTGCGCGGGACATGAGGTGAGCACTCCTTGCTACTTATAGAACCAGAAATTTCAAAGTAACCCATCGATGAGCCAAACGCCAGCTACCGTCGCTATGTGACCCTCAAGATCTACATCACATCTGCATCGATTGGGCAGCATCTGGATGATGAGCTTAACATGTACAAACGGCTAGAGAGTGGCTCAAGAAATCACCCAGGTCGTGGCGCTGTTAGACCACTACTTGACTCGTTTGATATCAATGGGACCCATGATAAGCATCGTTGTCTTGTACATCCTCCCTTATGGGACAATGTCTTGACCTTCTTGTACCGGAATCCGGTGCGGAGACTGCCTGTGCCTGTCCTCGCATTCATCCTTAAGCGCGTATTCTTGGCGCTGGACTATCTGCATACCGAGTGTCAAATTATACATACTGGTATATGATTCTTCAACAACATGAACTGTCTCATCACCATACTAATACCTCAAGTGTATCAGATATCAAGGCTGACAATATCATGTGCGGGGTTGGAGATGAATCTGTCTTTCGTGGTCTTGTTGAAGAAGAGCTTGAAACCCCTAGCCCAAGGAAAGAGCTCGATGGCAGAACTATCTACGCGTCCCGGGAGCTGGGACTGCCAGGGGAATGGGGTGCCCCGGTCCTTTGTGACTTTGGCTCAGCTATGCCTGGTGATGTGGAGCACCTAGAGGATATTCAACCCGATATCTACCGCGCACCAGAAGTGATCCTCGAGGTCCCATGGACGTATAGTGTTGATATCTGGAATGTTGGTTGCATGGTAAGCAAATGACTGATGATCCTGGTCGCGACCTTGCTGACTTTCTCTCTTCTCTCACAGATCTAGAATGTGTTTGAAGGCGGATCCCTGTTCACCGGATACGACCCGGAATACCAGACTTATCGAAGTAGGGCTCATCTCGCAGAAATTATTCGCCTGCTTGGACCTCCTCCATCCAGCCTGCTTGCTCGAGGCCGGCTGAGACACAAGTTCTTCTCTGATGAAGGTAAGGGAATTTCCATTGTGATAACTTCAGAGTTCCGCTCATCCCGTCTGGCATTACAGGTGAATTCTGTGCTGGTATCCCACTGAAAGAACCAATCTCGCTTGAGCAGAGGGAAACGACCCTCGAAGGGCAGGAAAAGGCCGATTTCTTGCGCCTAGTGCGGAAGATGTTGCAGTGGGACCCTGCCCAGCGTAGCTCAGCGAGAGAACTGTTGGAGGATGAGTGGATCTGTAGGCATACGCGCAATTGAGCATCAGGCATTCTATCGCGCACAGCGTGTTTCTGTACTGCATGGGTTTCCATCGAGGGGTATCAAGAAATGCTCTAACTGGTCACCGAATTGCCCCGAACCACGAGAATCAAACCAAATTTTGCGGTCGATCAAACTCTATTAAACTCTACCTAACTTGGTGAAATTCTCCGCAGAATCTATGATCGAATCTCGGAACCGACCGCCAACTCAGATGCACTACACACGATGACGCCGGTGTTTGCTCGCGGAAAGGGGTGACGTCACGCCTGACCGGCAGAAGGTACAAAACAGCTGGTAGTTCAACAGCTGAGGTACCCCGTACTTTTTATCCCTAAAAGCACAAACCAATCCCAATCAATCAACTCCAAAATGGTTAAAAGCAAGGACACGGTTATCGAGTAAGCATAGAATAGCCATCCCAATGAAATTAGCGCTGACCAAACCCCCCCCCCCCCAGCGAATTCAATGAGCTGGTCAACATGACCCCCAACGAGCTTCGCGACTGGCTCCAAGAGGAACAGTCCCAATCCTCCGGCTGGAACAAGGATAGTGAGTCAGGCGAGACGATCGGGCATGAGAGGTAAGCCGACTTCTTCAGTTTTTTGCGTCAGGGATCATCCATGTAGCCCTGCGTGTAATGTCGCATGTATGCTGAGCTTGAGTGTGTCTCTTTTTTTTTTTTTTGGTTGATAGTGGTCGCAAAATCGTGGACATTCTCGAAAGCAACCCATCCAAGGATGCGTCCAAGTACTCGGATGAGGACATCAATCATATGCGGAGGGTGGTGTCGTACTGCAAGCGGCATCTGGCCCAGGAGGAGACCGCAAAGCAGAACACCGATAGTAAGAGCTATCGGTCTTTGAAAAACTGGGGCCATGACCCGCTGAAGGAGTGAGGGCTGTTACTTGTTCTGGAAGGGGTTTGTTTTCTTGTTTGGATGTGTATAAATAGGTTACGGGTATGATTATTGTGTGGATATAGTGTGGATTTTGTAAGACAATTCTCGTCGAGCTGTAGCTGTCTTAGGTGTAATATTAGTGTATCATTTAGGTGTTGGGATTAGATCAGCGTAGAGGCGCAGGGGATAACTAGTTAAGCAGGAATCATCTTACATTGAGGCGTTGCATAGTTCTGATCTGACGCCGAAAGCAAGTGTCGAGAATCGCACTTTGTAGTACCGCCTCTACCTTCTTTTCTAAATGCCCATTAATCTTATAATGCCTGTCAGAAAAGATCGAAGCTATGGAACTAGTCCACTCACTAGATAGATCCTCATATATCTCACATACGGACCGGTCGCACTAACGGCGGTGCTGCACGCAGGCGTCGGCGTATGTCGATCAGCTATTGCCATTAACTCCGCAGAATCATCTCCGGTAATAAAAGGACCCTGTGTGTTGCGATCTCTTGCTCCAAGTGTGTGGAAATGGCAACCATCGCAAGCAGGCCAACGGTGGGAATCGTCGGTTCATCGGCATCACTGGTACTTGTGCTCCTTTCGCACGTCTTCTATCGCCCTGCTTCACACCAGTCCATCATATCAACAGAGCATCATGCGTGCGATTTATTTGCGGTGCAGAGCAAGAAGATTTCTGGCGTAGCTGAGCAGGAGTACGTAATTGGCGTCGCGATAGCTTCATAATACCCCGGCTAGTCCCCGCACAGGCCGCTCGGCTTTGCGCAAGTACTGTACACTCTGGTGAGAGCCGAGCTCAGAGGCTTCTAGATCTCTGACTTGTAGGTCTTGGGTTTTCTTGTCAGTTTGCCGACCTCTGCTGATCAAGGTATGTCCCACACCGTAAGAATTGTAAGAATTGGGTGACCGCTTGGCTGGCCTTTCACATGCTGCAGCGTCGAGGTAATCATTGCACGGCCTTTTGCGGGAAAGAGGGCAGAGCGTTATGGACGGAATGGGGGCAACCTCGCGATATACGAGACAACAATCTAGTCATGGGCTTTGCTTGCAGCCAAGATAGTCCCAAGGATTTGGTTGTAGGTCAAAACAAAGGTGAAGGCGGAGATGGCGTGATCCCCAACAACGTGGAGAATGGCCGCCAGTGCCTGCCTTGCCTGCCCGTCAAAGATCGCCATCTTCGGTTAACTCTCCCAGCTGCTTGCTTTCCCCTCCTCATCCTCCCACCGCACCCCGGTCACTCCTCCTCCACAGCTCCAGGACTAAATTGCCGATCCTTGATCTGCTTATCAGCTAGTAACTACTAGTACAGCTACCAGAACTTCAGCAGCCTGACTTTTACTCGTGCATCGAGGTCCTGATTTCACGATTGGCTGTCATGCCACGATCTGTAGGTCAACAACTTGGCACCCACCCACGACTGCATTACTGGCTAAGAAAAACTCCTTTGCGTCTTAGGTGGTCATCCGAATACGATGTACAAACACTGAAGGGCAATTTCTCACCCAAAAACAAAGAATTAAACAACCCAAGGCTCCACGTGTGCCGCGTCTTGGTGGTGCTTAGCAGAAGGTCCTAATGCCCAATAGCACAAGTTAGCACGATTTCTAAGCGGCATCCTCTCAACGCTAAACAATTGGGGCACGCGATCCCACTCTACTAGTCTGCAGTGACAGTCCTGGACAGAATGTCCCAGCGTTTTCCAATAAAGAACAACCGATCACAAGATCCCCGGGTCCAGCAAGCCGCCTCAGTACTGGACCAGGAATAGTGCAGGACCAAGACTCCACCCTGGCAGCTGAATACACATAGCAAGAAGCATAGTTCATGCTACTAAGTCCCCGGATATTGGTGATTCTCGCGAATGGTCTTGCTCTCGTCAAGTGTCCCCCAAATTTGTTCTTGCGCATGAATCATTATGCCTCCCTACCACCAGGACTTGGTCTAGTGAGATCGCAGCGCGCACTTGGTTGGCTTCAAAATCAGCCGGGCACGTGGCGGAGTGCACCACGCGGGTCGGTCCTTTGTGCGTGCGACAATTCTCATTCCCCCCGAACCGAGAGAGCGTTACTCAGACATAAAAATTACCGTTGGGTCGGTTCATCCGACAGTATAGTAGCTGGAATCCAGATTCGCCAATTCGAACCCACCGCAAGGCATTCTGTGCGCCATGAGCGCGCCCCCGTATCTTCTCGAGTCCCTGACGCTTGATGTCTTTTTCAGGGAATAAGCCATGAAGTCATGTCCAGCTCATTTTCGGTGTATTTTACCCCTCATAAAGGAGGGAGCAGAGCTGGCGGCGTTTTGCCAGCGCATACCGACTGCCCCTGGCGTTGATGCAGGGCATGAACTCGTAGCTTTCGGCCAGGTCCTCAACTCCCATTCGGGCTCTCCGATGGGTTGAGGAACTTGAGCTTGGCTATTATTCCTATCTCTAACTTTGAGCTCGGATTTTGGCTTGAGCCGCTATTCTACTAGTCACGTCATACGGCCCGAGTGGGTTTAGCTGGCGTGGTTTCGCTAATCGGGTTCGTATAAAGTGCATTCGTGGCTTGCGGGGCCGCTTTATTTGCCAATCTATACAAGGCCAAGATTCGTGACTTAGTGCCTTACAATGGGCCCGGGATAAGCCTACTGCACCAGAGGCTTTCGTTGAGAATATGACTCTTCAATGTTGGCCTGGAAAATGCCTGGCAAGGCGGATCCCTTAGTTGCTTGGCCCTGGATGTGGGTGGTTTAATTTTGCTTTTTTTTTCCCCATTCTCTTTTGCTACCCTCCTTTTTTGGAATTTGTTCTTCTTATCTTTCTATGCAACGCGGTCACCTGGGTGCCCTCAAGCGAGACTCCACATCCACTGGGGTGACCTACGTCCTTTCCTGCCTGTTAGCAGAAATTCCGCCCCAATCGCCAAGGCCACTATGCTCGCCTGGCCCCGATGCTGCGGTGTCTTCCCACAATTGGCCAAGGATCTTCTATCTAGCAAGGTGCAAGGCCCCACGTCATTAAGTTTCCAAACAAAATCTCCTCTAACGGAAAGTTTCTCGCCTGTCAAGCTATTTGCTTCAGAAAGTCACTTTCACCCAGGTTCTAAAATTAACACAATGAGCCCCATGGGTTGCTCCACCCTCAAGACCGGAACTGTGAGTGATGAGCCGCCATTCGAGCTCTTCGCGGGAGGACTTGATATCTGATACGTCGAGCGGAAGGGAGTATGTCTGAGCGGTGTCAGGAAAAGGCGACTAGCGGTCAGCACCATTCCCAACGCGCCCGATATCAGCGTCAGGCATGCCATGTGCTGGCGGACGGTAAATAGTGCGGGTGAAAATGACCTCTACCTGTCGAGCTTGCAGTAATGCGAGAATTCCGGTGCACAGTGGGCGCCATAGTAGTCGGCTTCTGAATTGTCCAAGACATGAATCATGACATATATCATTCTTGGAAGGAGAATTGGCTGTAATCCGACAAGTGCTCCGGCCAATCCGCTTGAACTCAATGTTAAATATGCATTTCCGGGGTCTGAACGCTCACATATCTCATAGGCGAGGTTCCAGAGACTGAGTTTCTCCCTGGGATGGCGATCCATGGTCGCTTATTCACAGCCTTGGGCCGGCCATCATGCAGAAGTCGAAATGCCACGAGGTCAAGGCTCATTCCTTTTCAAGCAGGGCTTGCGAGGTCAGATATGAGCATGAGTTAGTTGCAAATCAGAAATTGAGGCTTGAATTTCCTTCTCGCAACATTGCCATCCAAGAAATCACTGAGTTGCTGCGCTAGCGGTCATTTCAGAACTCCGTCATGTCCGTCATTGGATGTCTCCATGGGCTTTCATATGACTGGGTGGAGATCCGTACAGCTGGGGATTGCTTGCATTAGGGCTATTTTAGATCCAAGTATGAACGATGGGTCGGAAGACCTGTCAAGGCCAGTGCTGCATGGAAGTCACCGAGCCCTGCAAATCAGTCTTTCCCGGGCGAGACAAACCGGAAGGCTGATTCATGGAGACAGAGCAGACAATATGAACCGAATTGGAATCCTGAACAGGCCAAGGCTCAACATTACGGTCACCGGCTCACCCTGCTTGCTGGTAGTATAAAGCCGTGGGTCCAAGGAGGGGTTCCATGTCAGGATAATCAGTAATCGGTCTATTCGTTTGTGGTCCTCGTTTCCATTCCCCTCGTTATTCAATGAATTTTCTTTTACTTCTATGGCTCCTGGCCTCATTGGCCTTGAGCAGTCCGATTACGCACGATCTCTTTCCATTCAAACAGACGTCTCAGCTGGAAGCAAGGGCCGCAAATCAGAGTCAGTCGTTACAGAACTCTCAGGTGCCTTGGAAAGGATTTGACATCAATACAAATTATTATAAGACTGCCCCGGATACAGGCGTTGTGCGGGAGTATTTCTTCGACATCATTAATACCACTCGTGCACCTGATGGGGTCGAGCGGCAGGTGCTTCTTGTCAATGGGCAATTTCCAGGCCCAACCATTGAGGCCAACTGGGGAGATACTGTGAAGGTGCATGTCACGAATCGCATGCAAAACAACGGCACTGCCATCCATTTCCATGGAATTCGGCAGCTCAACAATAACCAAATGGATGGAGTAACAGCTCTGACTCAATGCCCTGTACCTCCTGGATCAAGCTACACATATGTCTGGAAGGCAGAGCAGTACGGTTCAAGCTGGTACCATTCGCATTTCTCTCTCCAGGCTTGGGAGGGCGTTTACGGAGGCATCGTGATTCACGGCCCTTCAACGGCTGACTATGATCAAGACCTGGGCGTTCTGTTTCTGAGTGACTGGCTTCATGAGACCTACTATAGCTATTATCAAGAGGATCTCAATAGTGGCCAGCTGCCTACCATGGTGACGGGTCTGTTAAATGGGACGAATGTTTGGGTTCCTACGCACGGCCCTACTGTCGGCAGACGATTCCAGACGACCTTTGTGCCGGGCCGGAGATATCGGATCCGTCTGATCAATACTGCCATGCACACGCAGTTCAAGTTCTCGATCGACAATCATGACCTCACCGTGATCGCGGCCGACTTTGTCCCAATGGTGCCATTCAATACGAATCATGTCCCGATCGGAATGGGTCAGCGGTACGATATCATCGTGACCGCCAATCAAAGACTGGATAACTACTGGATTCGCGCGATGCCGCAGTCGTACTGCAGCAACAACACGGCGGCAGACAACATCAAAGGCATTTTGCGTTACAAGGGGTCCAACCCAAACTCAGATCCGCAGTCGAAGAAATGGGATTATGGAGGCGATGTCGACTGTCAGGATTTTCCCACGTCGACCCTTGTCCCGAAGCTTGCTTTGAACGCAGACCTCGGCGAGGCGCACACGGTAACCTCTGATACTGGCATCGGAGGCATTGGCAAGCCACCAATTTACCTATGGAAGATGGGGGGTGAAATTTTCAATACCTCCTGGAGTGACCCGACCCTACTACAAACCTCTAATGCTCCTAAGAAGTCCAGCTGGGAGCCAGGCCAGGGAGTGATCCAGGCGAGCGTTGCGAATCAATGGACCGTGCTGATTATTCAGACGACCATTCCTGCCGTTCACCCCATCCATCTACACGGTGAGTTTTGATTATGCCTTCTCGCAATGACCCCGACTAACCAAACCTCATCAGGCCACGATTTCTACATCCTAGCCCAAGGCCTTGGTACCTACGATCCCTCCACCGTGAAGCTGCAAACGGAGAACCCCACGCGGCGCGACACCCTCAACCTCCCCGCAGCGAACGGCAAGGGTGGCTACGTCGTCATCGGGTTTGAGGCTGATAACCCCGGAGCATGGCTGATCCACTGCCACATTGGCTTCCACGCGGCGGAGGGATTCGCACAGCAGATTGTCGAGCGACAGAGTGAGTTTGAGCAATTTCTAGACAGAGATGTCCTGGAAGAGACGTGTAATGCTTGGAATGAGTGGGCGGAGACGAATCCCTACGGGTTCCAGCACCGAGGCGATCATGGGCCGTATGAGTCTGGGATCTGATTGGGGTTAGTATGGCGGGTTTGGCCTCTGACCGAGGTGCTCGTTCGTTCGTTCGTTCTTTCTTTTTCTTGCTTATGATTGATGATGTGAAAATGACTGCGGGATGATATGATTTAATGTCTTAATGTTTCAATAATGGTTACATTTTGGGAGGAAATGATAGGGGTGTGCATGATTCTGAGTTCAGTGGCGATTGACGATAGCCATGATAGCCATGCAGGGAAAATCTGGTCTTGGGAATGTATCCAACTTACTGCATAGCGATGCAAGTTATAAGTTCTTCATCTCCCTTCTGCGAGCTGTGCCTGTAAGTTGGAGTCGTTGTGCCGGTCCACTTTCAAGTCTAGACCATACTGGCTCGCCATCTCAAACTAAGCAGAGAAAGAATGACGGTGTGGAAAGCATCTCTCTCGACAAAAGCCTGGATCTTTTCCCCTGGGCTTTTCATCCTCTTCTGTCTTCGATGAAACTGTCATTTCTCACATTTCAGGACGTAGCTTAGAGTACATATCCTTGATCAAGCGATTAGACCTGAGCTAGGTGGAGCCAACCTCAGCCTCGATGATTCAGCAATAGAGTACAATATCACCCAGGGAAGGTAGGCTGGGGCTGGGGCTGGGGGGTCGATTCGATTCCAGTATCACCCTTTACTACAATAGTCATATCTGCAACCAATACCCCCAATGACATTGGATGGCACTGGATACCACCCATCCACCCATCCTCCGCCTACAATCATACATAGCCTTCACAGCAGCCCGTCAACAGGCAATTGAATTACCTTACACCATCCTGAATCCCACATTTTCTCGCGAAACGTATACTCCCTCATAAATATCAATCAATCCGACTGCACGAGCCATCAAAACAGGATGAGTGAGGGACAATACACACCCCGAAGCCCAGGCCCAATCGAGCTTACTAGATAACGTTGCTGCCTAGCCAATCTGACCCGATCTGTCGTGGCTTGGCCCTCGGTATTGTACTGTCCTGTGGACACGGAAGGTTAGATAAGGTGTACAGTACTGGAAGGTGGGTTGATGGTTCCTGCATTTGGCCCAGGCCACGCGTCCCCAGGTACAATATCTCTGTCCTGTACGCGAAACAGGAAGGTTCCTGCAGCTGCGTACGTGGGCTGCATCGCTGAGTTCACGGGATATGCTTTGACTGGTCGGGGATTTAAGGTTGGGGCAGGGCATTAAGGTTGGGGCGATATGTTGGTGGGCTGTGGATGAGCTTGTTTTGACTTCGTGCTGGGCTTGCTGGGCTTTTGGGCGTCTGAATGCTCTGGTGTTGAGATTGGTTTGGTATACTGATTAAATTGGATTTTAGTCAAGTAAACGTACACAGGGTTGGATTACCTACCTAGATTATGCATTTATGTGGGAGGTAGGTGGTTGTGCTGAACTAGTTCATGGACATCCACTATCTACCATTGTCACAAGGCCTAGACAGGGAATGTGATTACAAGAGAGTCAACAAAAAAGACGACTACCTAAGCCGAAATCTATGCTCCGCCACCACAGGGATGACCTTGAAATCCCCCCAGGTGGAAATGGTCACCCGACGGGCCGCAGCCTCGATCAGGTCATAGACCTCTTGCTTAAAGATACTCTCCCCGTCATCCCACGCGAGGTGATTTCCCAGCGGCTCCCGCACTAGCTGCTTCCCGTGGCGATACTTTGGCGTTTCCCGGTCAATCACCACCCAGTCCGTAGTCTTGATGTGCCCGCCGGCGCGACCTCGCGGCAGCCCGTCGACGACGATATATAAGTCATGGAGTCCACAGACGGCATTGCCAAACAGTATTACAAGCGCGTCAAGATCGAGCTGCAGCACCTCGAGCGGCACGGTCAGCTCCCAGCTGCACCACCGCCTCCGCTGCTGGCCGCGGCGGCGATGCCATAGCAGCTTCGGCAGGTAGCCCCCTTCCCATTGCGCCCGCACTTGCCGGTAGTCGTCCGGCGAGACGTAGACCTGGTTACTTCCATAGTCCAAGCCGGCTTCCCAAGAGCTCTGCCAGCAGTTGGTCGTGTAGTGCACGATCCTTTTCTCGTGGTCTTGCTGGGTTTTTCGGACCAAGGAAAATATCCAAAGCCTCTCTAACGGGGAGTGTGAGTCGTCTTTGTCGGGAGGGTCGCAGCATTCCGCCGCCCGGAGCACTTCGTAGCGAGCCAATTCTCGATTGAGCCACCTCTCAGCAGTGTGGCGGGATGTATGGCAGACTTGCTTGAGGGGTGGGACCGGGATGTGGAGCCGTCGTCTAATTTCGGGCTGCTGACCGGGGGCGCTGTCCAAGAATCTCAGGTTCATCGGATAGAGACTTATGACATCGGAGTCTTTCAACCGGAGAAGCCCATAGTCCTCGAGGGACATCTCCCAGATTTGGAGCTGTAGCTCGGCTGGAAGCCTAAGGAAGGGATGGAAAGTTGTTAGGCGTTTCGTGCGGGGAGACTGCGAGTCTCGGACCGGGTTGATGATCTTCATGGCTTGAACTTACACCACTTTCAGGGTCGATTGTAGACGTGAGCCTTGTGTAGTTTGTTAAAGCTGATGGTCTTGTCTTGAGTTTGGCTGCTACTCATCATTTTATATACTGTCAAGCAGGCTTCCGGATGTATAGGTCTGAGTATATACATGTGTTTCGTGCTTGGTTGGACTGGCACAAAGGGAATGATAAAAAGGGTCAATTCCTTACTAGTCTTTTGTTTTAAGCCGACGTTCTCAATAGACTCTCAAAGAGTCTAGGGGCGATTCTCAGTATTCAATGACCTAGAGTACTGCGTGAAGGGTGTAGTCCGTAGCAGAAGGGCTTGACCTGAGGCTAGGCCGGTACCTTCTTCTAGCTGGTCTCGGTGGCCTTCTTAGAGCAAGTGTTTTGTCACGACGACAGGAAGGATAAATTCGATAATCATCGCGTTGGGAGATTTTTTGATCCCAAAAATTGGAGCATGCAAAGAAAGTAGTCATTGTGATGACAGTTCTCAAAAGGCTTGTTGCAGCTAGACAGTAGATGGCAATCCATTGGGTGGTGACGAATCTGGTCCATTCTCTATCACGAAAACATGACGCCTCAACCGCTCATACTCGGAGGCAAATCCTCATCTCGGGTCCCCCAGTCGCTCTCTGCAGTTCCCAGCGCAAGCTCGAGCACTCCACCTTCCGTGAAAAAGTCATGGCTAATCCAGTTCCTGGTCCATGGTTGACCATCTCGGGTGGCATTCTGGATGTAGATTGACTGATACGTCGGATCGAAGTTGACATTTCGGATTGTGGCGGTCTTGCTTGTGACTTTGTTCAGAATCCTGACCTCCTTGAAGAACGGTGGGTTGATTAGGTAGACATCCTGCCCGTGGACTGGAAACAGTCCCATCATGCTTAGAGCTGCGAACGCCCCCATGGCTCCGCCGTCATCGTTGCCCGGGATACCAGAGACTGAGGTGTTGAATTGCGAGGGAATATATGCATGTGCCTGCTTTGTGGACAGTCCGGGGCGTCCAGCGTAGTGGAATTGATGAACGGTGAGGAATGCTTGCTCGTCGCCGACGTAGAGGAGGCCTGAACTGTGTAAGTACGTAAGTCGAGAGACAAACGTCTCACGCCCACCGAGTTGCTCGATCAAAGAAGCCATGTCTTGCGGGACGTAACTAAAAGATAATTAGCTCTCATCTGAGCTCGAAGCATCAGACATACTCACAATGAGTAAAGCCAAGCGCTGCCCTCATAAGTTTCATGGCCATTAGCATTCAGGTAGCACGAGTCAAAACTCAGCAGCGGACTACAGAAGATCGGGTCCTGGTATCCCCATGTTCCATTCGGGTAGCGTGGCTGAAGAAAGCCAGTGAAACCAGTGTTCACCCCACTGATGGTTGAGCTCTGATCGTCTTTGAACATATTATGCCAATTTCTGGCGCGCTGTGAATACTTCTCGCTGTCGCTCTCATGGCCTAGGACCCGGGCCATTTGAGCAATACAGTAATCATCGTAGGCGTACTCAACTGTCCGTGAGATGCTCCGTGTGTGCAGTCCCACACCGTACGGATCGAAGTCATCTGTTGGTATATAATTAAGTGTCTTCCAGCTAGTCAGGCCACCCCGTCCCTCAACATTCCAGTTGGACGGCTCGACTTCGGCATCTTTCACCACGGCTTCGTACGCAGTCTCCCAATCGATATTACTCACGTTCTTCAGGAGGGCCTCGGCCAAGAGGACATCTGCATTGGAGCCTCCCTGGGTGTAGCCTTTGCAGAGTGACATGCGGCAGTCAGGGAGATAGCCTTCATGACGATAGATGTCAATAAGGCTCCGTATCATCAATGACTGCGAAAGAGGATCCGCCAGTGTCAGCAGTTGATGTACACCGCGGTAGGAGTCCCAGATACTAAGCAAATATGTTAGACGAAGCTTGGCTGGAAGCACGGCGCTACTTACCAATAGTAGCTGTCATAGTAAGGCTCGTCACTCTGCCAGAGTGGGTTCTCCCCAGTGTAGTCCTGTGGGCTGATCATTGCGCGATAAATACCACTCCAGAACACTTTCTGCAGGTCTGTCGATGTGCCTTCTGTATCAACACTGATTGCGCTCAGTTTCTCCCTCCAGGCACTCTCCGCTGCCCATGCCGTGCCAGCAAAGTCAAAATTGGGTTGTTCGTTCTCTGCATTGGCACAAGCTTGATCCACGCTGATGAAGCTTACACCTACCCTGACAAGGATCGTCTCATTTGCTGTAGGGGCATTGAACCTGACGAATGTACCACCACTTAGGGTCGATGCAGAATTGCTGCCATCCGATGTTAGTGATAAGAACGTCTGGTTGAGACCCGCCCGGTTGTTCTGCCAGACGCCAGTATCTCGGACTTGTGCTCCTCTAATGTCCGCGCAGAAATGTAGGTCATACGTCCCAATGCCAAAGCTAGGACTAAAGGTGCCGTTACCTGTCAGTCTGCCTGTAGATGGATTTACTGACGCCGTCCCATTGGTGCGAGACTGGGGAAGATCCATAAGGTCGACGAGGACGACAGGACTGAATGTTTCGCTAGGAGTGTTCTCGAATGTGAAACGATATAGCGCAGAATGGTTAGTGACGGTCATCTCAGCAAAGATGCCGCTGTCTAATGAGATCGAGAAATATCCTGGTCGAGCCTGGGGCGATGACCAGGCTGTGGCTCGCACTGATTGCTGCCAGGCGCATTGATCCAGGTCATCATTGGGACAGCTTGGGTGTACGAAGATAGGAAAGTTGCCCAGGGATGGAGACTGCCAATAGTTATTGAGGAGCTCAACCATCGGCTAGGAAGGTCGAGCTTACACCACCAGTCCCAGAGTCGTGCATATGAGAGAACCCAGAAACATTTTGCGTGTCATAGGCAAATCCGGCCTGGTTCTCACCAAGAGTATCGGCTACTGCTTTGGCCATGCCTGCACAGAAACCAGCTGTCAGATACAGCCAGATGTAAGCTAATCAGATTAGGACGTACCAAAGGGCAAGGTTGCGCCCGCAAATGAATGGCCTATCAATATTGTCAACTTTGGGATGCCCTTTCATGGCAATGCCATATACCTACCTCCATTGGAAGTTCCAATTAGCGGGTCAATGTAGTCAAGTACATCAAAGGACACGCTCGAATCGTCGACTATTCGTCGGGTCACAGAAGCAGAAGCTAACGCTGTCAGTCCAAGCAATTCAAGAAGCCTTAAAAAAGAAGCTGGAACCATTATCAGGTAAGATCATCTAAGCCCTAGCTTGATGGATTGAGAGTTGTGGGGATGAACTGAAAATATAGTGTTTAGGAACATTCCGCAACAACAAAGGGGGGGGCAACCACTCTTCTTAAAACAATGAAAGCCACCAATGCGGTCGAATCAAAGCTCATCGATGCTCACATCTGGTTGTGTTTTATTTATTGAGCCATATCTCTTCTAACTTGCCATTGAACCTAGTCATATCCCAAACTGGCTGCATGGATGGGTATAGACCAGCCGGCCATGTAACCATAATCAAGCTACTGCATGTAACACAACCTCGACATTAGGCTGGCAGTTTCTGCAAGGGATGGTCGCTTCCGAGTACCGAAGGGCGGAGATTCAGGATCGTCCAATGCTTTCACGTTCTTAGTCGAGGGATGTTTCTTATGAGTCGATTTATCCCTTGTTAGCTTCAGGACAAGTTTTTGGTGTCATCCCATGACTCCTTGGTCGGGCCTCGGTCACTAGAGCGCCGCAAGCGACAATAACAGAGAACACAGTTTTGCCGAAACGTTGGCTTGTTTATCTCAAGGAGAAAAACGTTTTTATACCTGATGTGAAGGTTGACTCCCGCCGTCGCTGGACCTCGTGCTGCATGCCGAGCTTTGTTCCTATTAAGCTTATTTGAAACACAAGTCTCTTTTCGCGATAACAATCAACGATAGTCAATAGAACCGCTTTTTGTTTTTTTGTTTTTTTTTTTTCTTTTTGGAGGCGTAAAGGTGTCTTCTCGAAGGCGCAAGGCGCATGTGAGGCAGACGCCATTTTCGTGCGATGTGCAGCGCCTGATGAAGCGTGTTTGCAATTAGCCGCAGTCACTATAGATCCCAGGCAAAGAACTCGAAGTTGAAAAGCTCATACCATGATTATGTCCTTGAAAGTGTTGATCAATGCTCTTTGTGTAGTCTCATGGTGTACACTTGATCTGTCCTTGTGATACTCTGCGTCGTTTTGCGTGCGGGGACGATGCGTCGGCTGACTTGCTAGCAAGTATTGTGCTATAACAGTCCAACCCTGCACACATGGTAGGCGGAGGTTACATCAGATGTGGAGGGGAGGGCTTAGCATACAATAACAGTAAAAGTCTTTGATGAAGCTTAGGTCTGTAAATGTTATTCCTTCTCTATAGTGCAGCCATCTTTGGATGATGAGAGAACTTGAGTATGTAGTATGTGTAGGGAGGCAGTGGGTTACCTAGTACGTAAGTCTTAGTAACTGCCATTTTGGGAAACAAAGCCGCTAGGCTTTTTTTGGAGATATAGCAGCAAGTCCTCATCATTCACTTCATCGCACAAAGAGATACTCATAGATCCAACAGATGCTTACTATGGCACTCTTGCAAACATCGTTTTCTCTTCCCATGTTCCTTCTCACACACTCTCCCCTTCTACACTCATTGCAACCCCCTTGAAACTAAGAAACTGTCTACAAACATGGACCTCCCAGCTGAGATCATTGGCATTGTAAGGCCACTCTGAAATCGAGATAAGACGCTTAAGCTGACTATTGCTCACAGATTGTAGCCTATATTGCTGGTTAAGACGCCATATATTGTTTTGGTGTCGGCTTATCCCATATTGATTCAATCCCGATGCATGATCTGGCCAGTTTACGACTGGTCAACAAAACCTTCTGCTACTTTGCTTCCAAACACTTCTTTCGGATCTTATCGTGGGGAGGGGGGCTATGGGATGAGATCTGCTACAGTCCGTATGCGGTACATGTCCGCCAGATGCATCTAATTGGCCCTGACCACGGTTCCGAAAGAATGAGCTGGGAAAAGCTCACGATCCAGCTGCCAGATGTCTTGTCCTGCTTACCTCATCTCGAAACTATGGTGGTTCATCTTGAAGTTTTGAGTACAAGTGATCTGGAAGCGATCAACCCTCAACGAGTCCTTGTGCAGAGCTTCGGGAAGGCATCGCTTCTCAAATTGAGGAATCTACTTGTCTTTTTCGATGGGCTGAAGGCTTATAAAGCGGGCACCCTGCGCGAACTTGTTACTCCAAAGAAACAGGTAACACGACTTCTCCAAGGACTGCGTCGTCTTAGCCTTCAGAGTCCAGATGCTATGGTTCCTGACACTTGGACGAAGGCTCAATCTTTAGCTGCAGACTTCTTGGCATGCCTTCTTAACCTACCCGAAATCTCTGCGACCCAGCCTGCACCCGAAGCAGAGGACGGAGTGAAGCAGGATATGCCCCAAGGCTCTTCCACGCTTGAACTGGAATTACTTGCGTTGGCCGAACTGGAAGTCCCTGTTTCTGTACCCGCCACTTTCGCCACGCTGGCAACGCAATCGTTGCGCCATTGCGATATGCATCGGGTCTTGCTTGTTTCAGGGAACCGGTGTGACATTCTATTATCACTGAGCCATATGCCACAGCTAGTCAAATTTAGGCTCAAAAGATGCAAGCAGTGGGAAACGGGCTCCGACCGCCAACTCATTTGTGTGAACCTGGTGCCTGCGCCTGGCGTGAAAGCTGAAGTAGACGAGCGTGAATACGAGGCTCCCCTTGCTTGTCTTCCTCTGGAGCTGGGCCTAGCCTATGTTGCTGCGTTGCGTCAAGTCAATGTGAATCGGAGTAGTGCTGGAATGACTCCACTGTGGCATCATGGAAAGTGGTGGATCTGTCAATAGCATGACCCAAGTGCGTTAATGCGCTTGCTGGAAGTGATCTTGTTTCCTGATTGCAAGGGCCTTCACAGCACCACTATCATTGTGTCCCGAAGTGCACCTGGAAGAGGATATTTTAGCTTCAGAAAGAGGGAAGAATCTGCTGTTACAAATCGATTTGTGAAGCTACCTAAACATGGAGATGATTATTTATAAAACCCGCAACTATGACCGTCTAAAGAGTGTAAGAATCATAAAAAGTCAATGAATCTTTAGTTACAGGGAGAGGTGCAATGTGTGAGTTTGTGCAACAGATGCGGAACAATGTTGTTCCATGAGCGGGAAAACATCCCTCTTTTGAGCCAAAGGATCGCCATGCTGGATTAGCCGGTTGCCAAGCTTCTAGCAGCTTCAACTTCCTTATCCTTATCAACAATCTCCACAACCACACCTAGAACCATGAGCATGCCATCGGTTGATTTGCGATGAGATGCGGGTCGTTTCGACTCTACCACAGAAGACGCGACCTTCATGAGTTGTGGTCGACCCAGCAGACACAATGCCTGGAGTTCCGTCCAATAAAGCCTGCGAGCGGTGCAAGAAAAGACACCTGAAGGTTGGTCCAATGTTCTGCCCACGACTAGAATGCTGGCTAAATCATTCAGTGTGATGAAGCGCGTCCGAAGTGTCAACGATGCATCAATGCTGGTGTAGATTGCCCTGGATATGTTCAAACGCGCAAATTCATCGACCAGGGTGCTGCCGTGAGGCGCCGGTACGCCCCTTATCATGGCGAGGAAGCTTCGAACCGTCACCACAGTCCAATGGGCGCCCCAACGCACGTATGTACTTACTTATCCTCTCCAATAATCCAGTTGTGTAAGGTTTTATATGAAAGTCATATTCTGACAAGTGACTAGACGCTTCCGGGCGATCCTTCGAGCTTGAATCATGACGCCGCCAAGCATACAATGCCAAGCCCAGGTCAATTCTCATCTGGAGTAGCAACAGCGCCTGCATCAGGATTGACCCTTGGCATAGGTCAGCTGGTGTCGCACTCCCCAGCAGGGGCTTCGTCTCAGGCAAGCTCCCCAGGCGCAAGCATGCAAGCACGTCACGCTATTCGGACTCCTGATTGGGCCGGTCGAGAGATTGACCCGACCGGCATGGTAAGTTCGGATCCCGTCATTGGTCCTGAATGGAATGATGTTCGAAGCTCAAGTACTTCGAACCACGCATTTGATAACGCATCTTACCCTAATGCTGTGATGGCGCCTCGACGAAGTCAAGCTTCATCACATAAGGGGCATACATTGCACAGTCCGTCTCAGGCGGACGAAAATGAGAGCATTCAAGACATGTATTCCGATCTCATAAGTGGCTCTGGTTATGAAGAATCATTCTTAGTACGATACTATGTCGAGGCGTTGGCGCCATGGTTTGTCTCCCCCTCTCGCGTTCTGCCATTTTGCTCATTCGTATGCAGGTTAGATCTTTCTGACCCTCGCAAGTTCTTTGCGACTCATGTTCCGCTACGAGCCAAAGACGATGTGGCTCTCCAATACTCTATCACTGCTCTGGCCGCGAAACACCTCGGTCGAATGAAGGGAGTGAAGATCACCGAAAACACTGGATTATTCACGACTCCTGCGATACTGGAAACGTACCCTGATGTGTCGGACTCGGAGTGGCTGCATAAAGCCACTATGTACGGCTACCTGGCTGGTCAGCGACTAAACACTGCTCTCTCCGAGTCCTACACAGCGGTATCTAGCTCAGTTGTACTGAAATCCCCTTTCGAGACGATCAATGACTGGCTGCGGAACCAATCTAAGAACGCCCCCTTCGACCCACAAACACAATCGGCCCTGGGGAAGAAACTAGAAAACTCCCTCGCTGTTTCGACTATCCTCAATCTGTACAAATCGATGGATGAGCCGGCAGAGAAATGGCATTCGTGAGTTTATCCCTGTGGAACTTTACCATCTTGATGAGGATTAACGAAGACAACATAGACATCTCTCCGGTGTCCGACCGCTCTTCGAATCCATCGTCAGCCTATATGAAAACATGACACCAGCCCCTACAAGCTTCTCACATGGCGTCATTGCGGCGTTCTGTAACTTTGCCCGCCAGGACTACCTGAGCTCGTTTCTCAATCGCATTCAGACCCACTTGGACCCCAGCGACTTCAAACTTTGGAGGTTTGCCGGTATACCGCTCGATGACGAAGGGAATATCGGGCCTACCAGCGACACTTTTCTTCTCCAAGAAGACCTCTCCTTTCACTCTCTGGCATGGCTCTCATGCAAAGTTGTCAACTTTCTAGCCGACTCGAAGAAATCGTCCCTGCAACAACTGGTTCGCTCTCCATCCAGCGAGGGCTCGGAGGGCTCCACCCCGTATCCCACGACGTCCACATGGCTGGGGCTTTCGTTCGAGTATCAAACGTGGGTCGAACGACTCCCCGAATCGATCCGCCCTTGCGTGCGCCTCGAGAAGCCCCGCAACCTGTCACATCCGCCCGAGACAAGTCCTGTCCCGTTTCCTGAAATCTTCTACTCCTTACCGTCGTATGCATATGCGATGCAAGTGTGTCATTTCGGCCGCCTCGCATTGTCTCTAAATCGCCCCACCGACGCGGTCACAGCTCCAAGCACCGCCTTCGACCGCGTGCAGGGGTATCGTGAGCTGACCAAGGAGGTCGACTACCGGTGCCGGGAGATCATCGGGATCGCGCTGGCGCGACCGTCGAGCTGTGCGCGTGTGTACATGACACCGCTGCTGTTTGCGGTGGGCCAATTCCTCGAAGCGCCGGAGGAACGCCAGATTCTGGTGAACCTGCTGCGCGGCATCGAGGCGGATCTGGGGTGGGAGACCGAGTCGAAGACGAGGAAGCTGCAGACGCTGTGGAGTCATCAGTAGTTGGTGCGAGGCCCATTGTGAGTAAAGCAACCATGTTCATGTTGAAGGCATGTTCATCCTTAATCCTCCCAGATACATTCATTTCCGCCATTGCGCTTCTTGTCGCTCGCCTGTGCTCTTTTAAGAGCGAAGCTTTCAATGGAAAACCTTTCGCTCAGGTCTTGGTCTTATTGCCTGACGATCCTCGAACGCTTCAGATCGCAGACACATTCGGTCAAGACAGGCGTAGAGATGCTCCGCAGCTTAGAAGCTCACGTCTCCCAAATATTCACAATGAAAGGTAGGTTTCCAATCCTTTTTTTTGTGTCATCTGATATTCATATGTGTTGCAGGGGCAAGGGTGGAAGCTGCGCCGCCGTCACAGGAAACATATGTCATTGTCGACCACCTATTCAAGTCCCCTCTGTTAACGGATTTTCTTGACGACCCTGTTCCGCCTACTGAACTCGACTTCGACTCACTGGACGATTTCTGGCTACAGGGGCAAATAGGTAACTTGGGGTGGCTTGGTTAGCCAAACGTTGACATCCCTTCGATATAGTTCGTGGTCTCGGCGCGAGATTTTGCGAAAAAAGGATCATTGATTGGTGATTCCACGCAGTAAAAAGGGCCAGAAGAGTGTAGTTTGGCCATAAGTCTATTTTCTGCTTCAGCATAGTATAAACTAAAACAAACAATTGTCTATATCAAGTTATAGTCAAATAAAATTATTAGATTCTTGTCTTTGTGGTGCCAAGTAATGGATTGTGATTGTATACTTCTAGATTTAGTTCATATGCAATTTAGAGGCCTGGTGCTAGTTATATGAAAGCCAACTTAGTTAAATAAGAAGCTGCTCCAGATATCTGCGATTACTCAGTAAGCCCTCTAGTGTACTCCGGGAGCGGTCGGAGTACTTCGTGTATGCTTAATAAAAAGATTAGTAAGTGTATAGAAGCATAAAATAAGCAGTTATATATTACCCTTGCAAAAGCGGCGGCATCTGTATAAGGCAAGCGGACGGGACTTGTAGCAAAACATTCCAGTAACGGGACTACTGGGGAATCACAGGAAGGAAACTGAACGGCGAAGGACCTCGCCCAATATTAGATACGATACATTTTCGCATAAATCATCAAGACAGACCAGCTGCCACCGTACCGTAGCGTACACAAGATCACTCATCATCCTCATCCGGATCATACAGATCCAAATCCAACGTAGCCTTGGGCTTCGCCGGCAGCGGCGCCGCCGCCGGCCTAGCAGTAGTCGTGCCCGCAGAAGCAGCAGCGGACGAGCCCGCCCCGGCCGCCGCCGCCGCCCTGGCCGCCTCATCCGCATGCCTGGCCTGCTCCGCGACCTCCGGCCCCGGCGCGGCAGCCACCGGCGCCGCAACACCCAAGCCCTCCGCCTCGCGGATCATGCGCTCCACCTCCGCCTCAACCTGGAAACCCGGCCGGCCCTCCGCCGCCGCCAGCTGGATCTGACCCATCAGGCCCATGCGGATGCGATCCTCCATCGGATACGGCAACATATACACCTGCCGCGCCAGCTGCGCGCTCTCGTCCAGCCACGAGGTCGCCCCCTTGGTCACCTCGGCCACCGGCTCAGCATCAGCAGTAGCAGTAGCAGTAGCAGTAGCATCCCCGGCTCCATTCGCGCCGCCAGCACCAGCCCCAGCTCCCGCCCCAGTCCCCGCCATCTCCGCATCCTTGACCGACCCCCTCCGCGCCGCAACCCGCTCCTCGACCCCAGCAGCCGCATCCGCCGCCGCCTGGTGATTGTACTTGCTGATGCGCCGCGCAAAGTCCAGAAGCAGCTTGTAATCCACCTCCTTCACGCCGCGCAGCTTCGTCGTCGTCTTCTTCTTCTTCTTCTTCTTCTTCGCAGCCCCTGAGCCCTCCGTGCCCTGCATCTCTGTATCCCCGTCCCCGTCCCCGTCCCCGTCCCCGTCCCCCTCAGAATCCAAGTCCGTATCATCCTCCTCGTCGTCCGAATCACTCTCGGAATCCGAAGAATCCCCACAGACCCCCCGCACCACCCCCTCGTACTCCACGACCTCGCGCACGATCCCCCGGACCTTCGCCTCGAGGGCCTGCGCCTCCGCGCGCAGCCCCAGCAGACGCGCGTAGTTGCGCTGGTGCACGCGCAGCTCGTCGATCGTGGAGGTGAGGGCGTCGTCGGCGGCGAGGAGGGAGAGGGCGGCGGCCGGGGCGCCGGAGGCGGTCGGTGAGGTCGTCAGCGTGGTGAGGAGGGTGTGCAGGGCCGATTCGAGCGTGGAGAGGGTGGTGTGGACTTGGGTGTTCATTTTGCTGTCTTTGGGGATGGGGTTGTAGGGAGGTGGCTTTTCTTGGGTGTGGGGTTGTGTTTTTTTTTTTTTTTTGGTTTTGATGGTGGTGGTTATTGAGGCATTGGTTTGAGGTGTATTTCGTGTGGTGGGAGTTGGTAGGTGTAGGTTGGGTGGGATTGAGGTTGTGTTTTGTAGTTTAGGTGGTGGTGGTGCTTGCTTGGCAGCTGGAGCTTGGGCTTGGCTGAAGCTGCAGTGGACGGGAGCTGGGGATTGTCCCGGGTGAAGGCACGTGAGAGGTGCGGGTGGGTCACGTGGTGTGGGTTTCCGCTGCTGGCTGGCGATGGCCCGAACAAACAACTATCACACACCACTGGCACAACTTGTGTCTATTTATGCTTCGATGAAGCTGAACATTGACCTTGAGATGAGGTCAACTCCCCAAAGCTACGGCCTATACTTCCATGCTGCTGGTACTCCCATCTGTGTCAACGAACTTGTGCGATTATCTATAAGCTGATTTTTAAATCAATGTATTCTTATGACTCTAACCCCCAAGAAAATGGTCTAAGAATCCGCCGGATATAGCCTGCGGTAATACCACTGTTGCAAGAATTTCTGAATCCCCAACCAGCCCATGCTTCGCGCCCCTTCCTCCGCCGCTTCGAGGTAAGGCCGGATCACTTCCAAAGGCGTACCCGTTGCGTCAATCGCCTGTAAAAGCACCTCAACCACCTCCTTGCTTTGCGTCACGCAAGCATTAAGCAACGGCGACCGCCGTGTGCCACTGTGTGGCAACGGATTGGCTCCGTGACGGAGCAGCAGACGCACGCAGCTCGGATTACGCATGAGCGCCGCTCGATCCAGGGCTGTGTGTCCACCCACCGTTTGATTGATATCCTCGCCGCATCGTAGGAGAAGGTCGATCGTGGCGCTTGGGTCTGCGTCAGGCCTGTCCATGGATTTGGCCGCCATGTAAAAGCTGTCAATCTGTCGGGGTCGGGGGAGACGAGTGTGGAACCCCAGATCGATCAGAAACTGCACCATTTCCACTCGGCCGGTGTTCGCCGCCACGCAGAAAGCTTGCTCGCAGGCCATGCTGGGGAGATACCCCGGGAGGAGCAGGTCGTCCCATCGCTGCTGTCGCAGGAGAAGCTCAAAAACCGCTCGTCCGCCTCCAATGGCTTGATGAATGAAGCTGGCCCGGCCCATGAGCAGCGGCAAGTCAAACTCGCGGTCCAACAGCATCTGCACCAGTGCAGTGCGGCCCGAGCCCAGAACCACGGCTGCGACCGTCGTTTCTTCCACACCCATCCCACCAGGACTAGCCCCAGCTTCCAGCAGGCATCGAAAAATCCCTTCGGACGGGATGGCCACCATAAGGGCAGGATTGCAGGTTCCATGGTAGACGTCTTCGTCGTTCGGATTGGCTCCCGCCTTAAGTAACAGTTCAACGATGGGCTGATAACCCCCGTGGATTGCTTGAAGCAGTGCATTCTGTCTGACTACCTGATTCACATGTGGCTCGCGAATGATCATCGCAGGGCTCTGAACGACAGACATCTGCCGGGTGATGATCGCCTCTCTCGATGGCTGAGCGCCACGCTCAAGCAGCAACTTCACAACGGCTGTGTGGCCTCGGTCGGCCGCCAAGCATAGGGCCGTGAGAGATCCATTGAGCGAATCCGGTACAAACCGGATCACGGCGTTCGCATGGCAACCGGGATTTTCCAGGAACCCCTGGACAGCAGCGAGGTCCCCTCGTGCAGCGGCAACACACAGCATCGCCCGTAGATTTGTGCCGAGCTGCGCGTAGCCCTGCGGCTGCGCCAGAAGGAGATCAACCACCGCCGGGTGCCTGCTCCTAGCGGCGCACACAAGAGGGTGAATGGTCTCGTCCAGACGCGGCAGGCTATCCATCACGCCGTCCGCATTGACGAGGCACCGCACGCACTCGAGATTGCCATGGTGCGCAGCTTCGGAGATGGGCGGCGCGGTCCCACTGTACGATCCGGCGTTGGGATCCGCACCGCGACTCAGAAGGAACTCCACCACCTCATGCTGGCCGGTTCTCGCCGCATGCGCCAAGGGGGTCTGGCCGTCGTTGTCGCACGTCTCGAGGTTCGCGCCCGCCTCGACCAGGCAGCGGACCACGGGGAGATGGCCCATCTCCGCGGCGCCGATCAGCGGCGTCCTGCGCAGCCCGTCGGCCGGGAAATCGACATCGCCCGTCCGCGGCAGGTGGTCCAGCAGCATGCGCACCAGCGGCTCATGGCCGCGCTTCGCCGCAATCGCCATGAGACTCATGGTCTGCGCGGGGGAGGCCGCGTAGTCCCGGTGACGGGGATTCACCCAGTCGCGGGCTTGCCGCAGATCGACCCCGTGCTGGCGCAGGAGTCGCACGATATCCTCCTGGCCCTCATAAACCGCCAACGCCATCGGGCGCCAGTCCATGTGCGGGTCGCATTCGTGCGGGGACGCGCCTGCGTCCAGGATCAGCTGGACAGTTTTTACGGAGTGATGCGCGATTCCCCACGCGAGCGCCGTGCTGTTCCCATGGCGCACGTTGTGTCGGTAGAGCCGGGGGTTCAGGACTTTGTGTAAACGCTTGTTAGTGCAGGCGAGGGCGTTGATCTCGCTGTCGTATTCGAGCAGGTCCCCGATGATCTCGATCAGCTCCACCGGGAGCGCCGCGATGCCCATGTCTGCGAGTCGAGTAGTGATAGTGATAGTAATATCGAGTCTGACGTGCGTAGGTGTGTAAAGATAGGACTGGTATACTCGCGATCCGTGGGCTCGAAGACCTGTGCGCTGGATTGTGGTTAAATATATTTCCAATCAAGCAGCGCAGCAACAAAGGAATTATCTTCGGTCCACTCCATCGTTAAAAATGGAGCGGAGTGACAATGCGCATCCGACGTAGGGGACAATGAAATGCTGTTAGGTTTGCGGAAGAGTATGAGGAGATCATCCTTTCCAGAATTCTGGATTGGTGTCCGAGCCACAATGATGCTGGTGGGAAAGTCGAGCTTTTGCAATGAGAGGGCCATATGGCTCTTGTGCTTATGACTGCGATGGTCTCGACCAAAAACAGGATGAGGTGTCTGGAGGCCGCCATCTCGGTTGAGATGGCTATATAGAAATGGAGCTGGGATACTACGGGTCAGGTGACAATCGCTCACTATTATACTCCTTGACACCGGCAGTGTTTCGCTTCCGGTTGGATACTTGTTCTGATAATTTGCCATCTAGTTCGGGTTTTGTCTGAAAGACAATCCAGATGCTAGTGCATGATAGTTTTGTATGTTTTTCTGAGGTCTTGACCTAGACTAATACGACTACCGGCAATACATAGCTCAAACCAGATAAGCTCCACGAAGAAAGATGTAGCTGCTGCAATATCTCATCATCGCCTCAATCTGTGATGGAATTCCGATCGCCAGCGGAGAAGGTTAGAATTGCACACTATAGTGGTTCATCCCAGTCAAGAGACTAGTAATAACACAATACCACGCAACTCCACAGCCCTGGACGGCATATGCGTCCTACTCATCCTGCAAAGATCCGCTTAAGTTCTTCCGGTGTTGAGACGACAAAAACAAGATGATTTGATCGGAACATCCGCTCGAGCCAACGCCATCCTAAGCTGTAACCCAAGAATGCGCGCCTCGGATTCACGACCCAGTCTCACAAGGCACTCGTGGTACCCATGCAACGACCACACATTATTCGGATGCTGTTTGGCTCGCGGTAAGGAGTCATCTACCCCCAGATCCGCGGCATAAACGTTCGCCGCCTCTTCCACAAACCCTTGCTCCAACAGTAAAGCGCCATGAACATGGCGGATGGGCTGCATCCACCCCCATGGCTCGTCATATGGAAGTTTATCATAAAGACTGGTGGCATGGCTCAAATGCTGGAATGCCTTGGAAATATTGCCACGGCGGTACTCCAGCTCCCCGTCGAGCATGGCCTGTGCGATGGCTAGAATGTCAAGACAAGTGTTGTTGTGCAGGGTGCGCGTCGGTGGAACTCGCTGGAATGCTTTCTGGAAAAATTCCTGTTCCTTACTGGCCTCGTCGATTTCTCCCAGGGCAGCCAAGGCGACAGCTTTCCCGTAGTGTATCACGGCGGTAGTCACACAGTATAATTCCTGGTCCTGTGGGAGTTTGATCGCGATGATGTCTTCCCAGCGCCCGAAGCGGATTAAGACATGCACGCGCATCGGCACAAACGACTCCAAGAACATGGCCATCGGGGGATGCGGCGTGCGTAATATTTCCTCGGAGAGTGATTTTTCCAGCTTGATGGCAGTGTTCAGTGCGACCTTGAACTGCCCCGCGAGCATAGCTGCATAGATTAGGAAGTGATAATTGTGGGATCTGTACATCGTATAGATACCCTGAGGCCGAGACAGGGCAAGATGTTTTTCATCAGCCCTCACTGCATCGGAGTTGGAGATGATAGCTCGCTGATAGTCCCCGCAGAGGATATCTATGTGAGTCGGCATATGATGAAGATGACCCGAGTCGGGAACCAACCCACGGAGATGATCAGCGATTTGCAACACCGCCTCCGGCTGGCTGGACATCTCCATGAGATGGATGTACACATGCAATAAACCTGGGTGTGCATAGCCGCCGTCTTCATCCAAAGCGCGGTGGAGAACATCTTTAGCCTCCAGGGTACATGACCCTGCTGTCGGATGTCCGGTGTGCAAGTCCCAAAGCCGCCATGGCGTTAAGTTAATGAGGCTGTCAGCATATAGTGCAGTGACATCCAGGTCACCTGGGAACCTCTCATAGACGACCCGCATTGCCTCCGCATAGGCCCTGCTCCATGACTGGAGCTCCTGTGGGTCCTTCGGCGCATGTTTCTGAGGAAAGCGGGCTTGAAGGGCTCGAATGAGACCTTGCTCGATGGGCGTCGCAGCTTCACTGTTCTCTAAGGCCTGGGTGAGCGCAGAGTGGGTGCGGCTCACAACCATCTCCAGTGCCTGGGGAGGGAAAGCCTCCCACGACATGTTATAGTTTGGCCCGAGCGCAAACGCTAGTCCCCAGTATGCCATGGCACACGTTGGGTCGTGCGCGATCGCCTGATTGAAGCATTCGGCGGCCTGCTCGTGGTTGAAAGCATAGCACCAGGTCAGGCCACGGTCGAACCAGACCTGAGCATCCCTGCTCGCAGTGGTGACTGATCGATGGAAGGATCCAAGGTCATAGTATGGGGTATCTGCGGAAATGGCGATGATCTGCCTGTTGAGATACTGGGCCATTTTGGGGGATATTTCACATTGTGTCAACCTAGCTCAGTGATTGTAAAGCGACAGTTGGCAGGGAGAATGAAATAACGGTTGTCTGGTTATAACTAGCCAGCCAGAAAGACATGTTAGTCATCGAACCGTCATCTTGTGATCCGTGACATCAAGACATGGACGCGCGGGATGGAACCAAGACAAAGAAACGGGTTGTACGGAGACAACAGGCCATCGAATGTTTTATCTTCCAGATAGGAAGTCTTAATGGCCGATGCGATCTGTAGTTTGAAGTCCGGAAACGAGGAGAAAAAAACTCCGAGCAGAGAGCCAGCGTTCCGTTCAATCTCACTACAGAACACCGCAACCATGCTCAGTACAGCTCAGATAGAGAGGTACTAAGACAGATATACCGATGCATCTGTAAGCGGAACGTAGCAGCACTCGAGAAGTAAAGGAGGGGCAACTGGGCAGGTAAGTTTAGCCGAGCAATGGGGGACAAGCTAAGAGTGGGGATTGTGCAGCAGGAATACGAGGGAGAAGTGGACTTGTGGGTGAGGAAGTTAAAGCTGAATAAAGTCTCATTCTCGTGACTTACTGCCGACAGGGGACGGGAAGGGTCTAGCCTCTCTGCCAGTTTGCTCGCTTGTCAAATGGACTGTCACTGCACTGTCACTGCACTGTCACATCCGTCAATACCCGAATCCCCAACCCCCTCATGGATCATCCCATAATTACACTTTTCAGATCATTGCTCTTCTTTTCTTTCAACCCAGAAATAGCTTTTACCTAGGATTAAGGTATAAGTAGAGCCAGAGGATCTCAGGTCGTGCCCTGTCATCTGCTGCTTCGGCAAGATCGCCTGCTCCCGCCAAGATCCTCCGCGTCTGCTTGGCGGGCGCACTACTCCGCGAGCTACCTGCAGTAGGAGACTGTTTTCGGAAACTGGTGTCACTTCAATCTGCTCATCGTGCAATCTGGCTGTTGATTCCTAAGAATTAGATAATGATTAATTTGTGATTGCGAGCCTTCATCACGGTGAAAAGACCAGTGGTGGCCCCATCGACTGGTTGCCAGTGCAAGCAACAGAACACCAAGTGGGTCCGTTCTACAAGTTGCAGCCTGCAGGAGAATCGTCAACGTTTCTATCCGACAAGCAACGAGCCTCAATGCGCAACCCGACAAGCGTCTACTCTCCCTTGCAAGACACCTTCTTGCAGACTCGAATCGGTGAATACCTACCTCTTGGAGGGTGCTTCGAGCCTCTTCTCATGCCACAAATGCGAAGTATCGCGGAATCATCACGAACAGGAGCGAGCTATAGTTCGTGATGGACAACCCGCCGTAAGCTGAGCAGACCAGATAGATGAGGGACTATATCCCACCACTTATCTTCATCCGGCTAGTCAGGCTGTAGATCGCGCCGAGGCGAACCTGTTGTCAACTTCTCACCTGCAGAATGGAGATATACGGAGCCCCGGAGCATACGTAAGTCTCCTTCAATAGTGCCACGAAGATAGCGAACGATGCTCCATCGACCTCAGCTGAGAACGAGAGGGAAACATCCAATGCCTTGCTCACGGAAACAGGACGCGTGTAGCAGCATCAGGGCGACAGCAAAAGCTATATAAGGGCGGTCGTTGACCCTCGAGAAGGCCTCGAAAGAGATCCAGAGATCACAGATCAACAACGCAAACCCAAATCCACTCTATAAACCATCTCAGCCCTTCAAGATGATGACCAAGGTCCGCAACCACCCTCCCCAATCGTCTCCACCCCTGCATCTTAAGCTCCCCTCCCACCTTCAATCTCAGCCTTACTAACCCTCGACCCCAGACCCTCGCCCTTGTCGCCACCACCCTCGCCGTGGCCGCCACCGCCAACCCCACCGTGGGCTATGCGGGCTACTTTTACGAGAACTGCACCACCCCCAGCATCGACGCGGGCAACGCCTACGCGGGCTCGTGCCTGAACGTCGAGAACTTCCCCATCAAGTCGTTCACCGCGTACGTCGAGTCCGGCAGCTGCGCCGACGGCACCTCGGCCGTGCTGCACACCTACACGGCCTCGGGCTGCGACGAGTCCACCCTGTTCGAGACCGTCAGCGTCGACACCGAGAAGCAGTGCTTCGAGGCGGATGTGACCCTCATCAGCATCAAGTCGGAGTGTGTTTAGATTTTGGACTGCATGGGAAGATCGCGGGGAGTATGTATCTAGGCTTGATGAGCAGTTGAATGCGATGAGGTCGATGAGGTCGATGATGAAGAGGTGCATATATGCCAAGTAAATTGTATGTTGGGCGGTGGGACAGCTCGAGGAGATAAGCTATGGTCGATAGCTTGGCGTTGGGGTGCTCGCTGCTTGGTGTGTGCCTGGAGGTACACACTGTTGCTCTCGCTTGATACTGGTTGGTTGGTTACTAAGGATGTGCCTGAGGAATCGGCTACCTAGTATTGTGCCCGGCATTACAGTCTACTCTAGTCAGCTAGTCAGCCATTAAAAGATATCTAGATATACTTCAAGGTTCTTCGATCCATGGCCAATCACGGAGTCATAAAAATCTTTGATATTACACTTCATGCCTATTCAACCAGACTTAGGTACACAGTATGCCACCGTCCTCCCCGCACACCAACCCAGAATCCATCGAACAGCATAAAAATGCTAGATTCCAGATCCGCTATCTCTTCCCCTCATCACCTTCCCCTACTCAAAACGGACAACAATTTCCGCGTCCGGATTCTCGGTCGCATGCTGAGCTTTAAAGAACGAGACTTCTCCTGCAATCAATCCCCTCAACCCAATCCACACCCGATTATCAAAGCGCCCCCCCCCCAGTCCAATGATATCAGATAGCCATGACCTCAACTCCCATGCATGGAATCATCATTCAACCTGAACTGGAACAAACAACCACCTCTCAAATCCAAGGTTCCATCCACCTCGAACCCCACCGTTCTCACACCCCAGATCCCACATCCGCATCCACGAACACAGATCTACATCCTGATCTCACTCGAAGATCTTACAGGGCACCGAACACATAGTCTCTACAACCGTATCCACAAATGGAAAAAGAGTGCCGCACACGCGATCAGCGAAGCGGAGAAACAACTTCCCCTACCCTGTTTTCCCCCCTGCCCGGATCCCCCACACTCTGGCCCTCTAGAACCATGAAAACCGGGAAATGCAAGACATGCGATATCATTTTGTCTTGGATCAATGTTGACTACGAAAACATGATCCAAGATTTTCTGAACCGGTCATCGAGATAACGATCGTCGGGGAGTGTCTTAAAAACTACAGGGTATGCCAGCCAGCGTGTATGGTTGATCGAGAGAGGGTAAGGTTCGGCGGGTGGATCCGATGCCCGGAAAAGTGGTTCGCACGAAAATTCTCCGTGCTCAACACCCACCCCCCATTCCCCCAAAAATCCTATCCACATCGGATACCCCCCGGTGCGAAAGTGGCAAAAGACAAAAATATTGACCGACGCAGGGCTCGAACCTGCAATCTCTTGATTCGTAGTCAAGCGCCTTACCATTGGGCCAGCCGGCCTTGTTGATACCATGATATAATTATGAGGGTAATATTCACGGTTGGGAATGCGTTCGCTTTCATTCATGTGCGTATACTAGTTAACAGTAAACATGCTACATTGGATATCTTCATAAACAGGACAGTAAGTAAGGAAATGGAAGGGAGTGAAAATGTGAGGAAGGAAGGGAATGTGGATTAATCGTGGGGAAGATTGGCTTCGGGATCGGAGTCGCTGTATCTCTCCATCAGTGCCTCCTTCTCCGACAGGGGCTCCTCGTCTTCGACCGTGATGACGGGGATTTGGGGCCGGCGGCTGTCCTGTGCCCAGAAGTAAACGGAGATGATCATCCGACCAAGGAGGAATCCGATGACGCAGGCGACGCCTCCGGCCACGACGCCCAGGAGAGCAGGGAAGATGATGGCGCGGATCTGTCGCATGACGCCCCGCTCGCGGCCGCTCCAGAAGAATTGTCCGTTGTGGCTCGTGCGGAAGACGGGAGGGTACTTGGTCGAAGCCGACGTCTCGTGCGAGGACTGAGTAGCGGCAGGGGCCGGGGAGTCGTGGGGGTAGGGGCGGGCTTGGTCGTGCTCGTACTCGTGCTCGTGCTCGTGCTGGCCGTGGGAGAAGGGGGTCGTCTTCAGGCAGTCAGTTACCGCTTCCTTGGCGTTGTTGACGTAGGACTCGACCTTGGACTTCCACTCCTTCATGCGCCAGATCTTGTTACCGTGGCCGTGCTCGCGGCTGGAGTTGGGGTCGATCACGGTGATCTGGAGGTTGTCGGCAGTGTCACGGACTAGGCCGATTGCAACGGCGTGGTCGGTGACGGGACGGCCGTGCAGGTCGAAGAGGCGGAGCTTCAGGTGGTAGATATCGCCCACGGGAGCACCAGGGTGAGATGGGAGTGGTCGGACATCCAGAGCGTAGGCGACGGAGACGGATTGCTTGTTGCCGTCCCATTTGCGGTCCACAGAGAACTGCATCGGCACAGACGCGGGGAAGATGGGTTGTTTATTGGCCAGCAAGACGCCATTTTGCGTGGAGAAATCAATAGTCTAGGCATGGTCAGCTTGAGATTCGAGTTGCTTCCCGGGAAGGATCAACATACAAGGTGTGCAAGGGGGTCGAGTGCTTCGTTGCAGCTGGAGTCGGAGAAAGCACATGGAACGGCAGGCAAGTTTATCTGGTGGGCGCTGGCCGAGCGGGGGGAACTGATGTAGGAGTAAGGCACGGCAGCAGCGGCAGCACAGCTGCTGAGGCAGAGGGCGCCTGTCACGGACAGGTGACGAAGCAACATGGTTGGTTGTAGATCGGTTGATGATTTAGAAAGAGAGAGTGATGATGAATAGAGTTGGTGAGTTGGTGAGTTGGGGAGTTGTATAGTAGTAGGTGGTGAGGTGGTGAGGTGGTATGGCGGTGGTGATGGTAGTGAGTTGTGGTGGTGGTGGTGGTGATGGTGGTGGTGATGGTGGTGGTTGTGTACCGATGCAAGGGAACGAACGTTTGACCAGGTCCCAGAGGGAAAGTAGAGGGAACGACAGAATGTTTATAGGATGCAAGACCGGAAGAAACGACAGAGCCAAGGCTGGAAAAATCATGCAGGGTGCTGTGAGCCGGGAAGAGGCATATAAAAGCGAGCAGAAGCGACCAAGCAAACGCTAAGATTTGGCCCAGCGGGGAAAGCAAGACAAAGGCACAGCAGGAAGAAGCAGACGAGGGGGCGAAACGGGAATTATTCTGGGTCAATGGGTCAATGCAGGCCAAGTGATGGAGTGGAGTCAGAATTCCGAGGACTCAAAAGTAGAGTTAAGTTAGTGGAAGTAATGGAAGTAATGGAAGTTAAGTTGTGAGTTAGGTAATTAAGTTGTGTTGTGTTGGAGTTTACTGCCATACTGAAATTAAGAGTGTTTGGGTGATGGTTCTTTTACTTACTGTTCCGGGTGCGGAAGAAGTGCAGGCTCTCCGTAGTATACTAAGTTAAGTTACTACTGTAAACAGGCGGCTTCCAACTCCGCCATCATCTCATCACCACTGCATCCATCCTCCATTCCTCCACCCATTCACCCGCCCCAACAAATAAACACTGCCTCAACTCGTTGGTTTCACTACTCTACCTTCTCTTCCTTGATCTTGGGGGCCAGGGACACTTTCATTTCTTCCACCTGCGCAAATTACTTGTGCAACCGGTCCCTGCGGCTTGTGTCACCGCAATTCAGCGCGATGGCAATCCCTTGGATTTGAAACAACCCCCATGGGCGGTTCTCGGTGGGTATTTGGCACCCGAGGATGGAGTATCTACTTTGAGTCTTTGATGACTGTATCGCTACAGCACGCACTTGAACAAGTCCAGCAAAGTCAGAGACACAGGGCAGAGACAGCACCCAGACACCCAGACAACCAGCCAGCACAGCCATTCGCCCCCTCCCTCCTCTCAGGCTCTCACAATAATTAAAATGTGCTATTATTAAGTATAGACCCTTTTTCCCTTTGGGCTTAGCCTTGTTTTAGTGCCTGTCGCTCTCCACTTTTCCATGGTCCGCGGACACCGGCGAGCTGTGCTATTTCATTCCTTCTTCTGCTAAGCTCTGCCAGCGCTGCCCCCCTCTGCCAATGATCAATTCAGCTGCACCTGGTCGCCCCCACGGGCCATTCAGGCTCTCACTTTCCTCTCCCTCCATTCATGGGTCATTGGAAGCTTAGCGATGAGGTTATCGCCCGGGGATCAGTTTAGCTGTGGATTCCCTTTTGCTCCCCTCGGACCTCTCTATCTTCCGACCCAGACAGAGCACCCAAGGACTCACTCTTCAGAGGTCTCAGACAAACGGCTGCCTAATTTTGGACAAATCGGCGTTCCCTAACCTTGCTACTTGTCGTTCGATATGGGCAGACCGTCCATCTCCACCCCTCAGACACCTTACCAATAAGCCTCCGTCTGTCACTTCGGTCGGCCGCCTGCGTTCGGTTACCGTGGGCGAAGCCTCCGGGATTCTACTCTTCGGGGAAAATGGACAATCACCCAGCCCATCAGCGTGCGCTTTGAAGGTGCAATCGGACCCTGCGATTGGCACATCATGGCTCCGGGACATTTTCTTCGGCTCCCTCTTTGGCAATTCGAGCTGTCTTATTTGACAATCCCTGTATGACGCAGAGCATAGGCGATTATCGTATTCTCAAGATTTAAGGTTATGGGAAAACATCACCTCTCATAGCCTCATAGAGTCATTAGGCGACCCCGAAGTGGTCGGTGGCTTGGACGATTGGACCTGATGTTCACAAGCTCCGTGCCGGCCAGCTCATCGGGCGCCATCCCCACTGTCAACTGGAGCAGGATCGCAGCGTAACGGACAAATGCACTTATCCATCCTAGTGCTGCAAATCACTGGAAGCTAAGGCAACTCCGATGGGGGAAGTAAAAAATGTGCCTGGGCTAACGTGCTTAAGGTATGGACCATTGGACCAGAAGTTGAGACATTTTTTTTCTTTATGGAGTACCAAACTCCAATCTTTCTTTACCCTCAAGCTGATGGACGGTCGACCCTTGAAACAGTTTAGCTCACTTCATTGGTTATTTTTAGTGCTGAGTCAGTCCACCGAATGTTCCACCCAAAGGGCAATTCCAGGCAGACAAAAAATACACGCCTATTTCGAGCTTATACATTGTTTCTCTAGAGGCTGAATTACATTAGACGATCTGGTCAATCAGCGACGTCGGAACATGCGCTTGCATCATTTTTGAGATATCTCACGTGCTTATGGCTGCAACGGCAAACTAACTTGGACGCGGTTCTGATGCGCGCATTACACTACCGGAAGACTTACCCCTGACTGAGATCACGGATCCGGGCCCGTCGGCAGAAACTCGCCCTGTGACTTGGAAAAATATAGCCACCCGAAGCTCCACTGCGCGGGTGGTGAGCTTTTCGGTCATGTTCGAACCACAATGACACTGACAGAGATTTTCACCACCGGCGGCTGGTGGCAATGATGCCCGCTAGCGTTCCAATCTCCCCCCGATCATCCATTCAAGCATGGCGCACGATCCCACGTGGGTCATATAGGGGGTTCCCTCGCCGAATTGCCTTCCTTCTCATTGGTGATGGACTTTGTGAGCGAAATCATTCGGCTGCCATAGACACTACCTCATGCGACCAGCGTATAGTTCTAAAACTAGTGATGCGGCTGAATGTCTACCATGTCAGTCCATGCAAGGGTTCGCAATGGCGGCCTCCTCAGGAACCATGTTTGCAGGTCACCTATATAGTATTGAACTATAGTTCCAACCGTGAGCCTCAAATAAAGGGATCCCTGTTTCACAACCATCCATCGTTCTTTTTCAAAACCGCCCCCAAAGCCTAAGGATTGCCAGAGTTTCTTTCAAACACGGCCCCTTTCCCAAGGCGCACCGGATGCCAAGTGTTGGCGGTGTTCGATACGAGCGGTTCCGCCCTCGGATAGTTCGATTTCAGGCTCCCCCTTGCGTGCGATCAGCCGGTGATATTCCACCACATCTGGCATCGATCCATGTGCACCGGATCTGGGACGCTTGATATATTACCCGCTTGGATGTTCAAGACTTGGCCCTGCGGCCAATAAGAGTCCCAGGCTATCGCTTCGGCAACGGAAGAAGAGGGCTGACCCTTTTGCACAAAGGAAACTATATAATCCTGCATGACCAACGCAACGTCGACATCGACGACGCTCGGGTCAGGGTTTGTAGGGTCATAAAAGGTGAAGTATAGATCTTCCGAGTGCAATCCTGGAGCCACAGCGAAGCTGTACCCGTATACGGTCCTCAAGGCAGTGCTCAGGTACAGGTTCTTGCACCGGAAGAAAGCGTCGCTGATTGTCAGAGTCAACCTTCCAAGCGCATCGCTATAGCCTAGACTGGCTGCTGAGGTGTTGAAGCTGGGTGGATAGAGCGTTTCGGCGATATCCTCCGCCAACTCGGGACCCAGATTCGGGAGAAAGTCGCCCAGGATGGTCGAATAGGCCGAGCTGTTCACTCCTGCCGGCGGAGTGAAGATGAGGCCTTCGTTGGAGGTATGACCTGTCATTATGCGAAGATCCTGCCATTCGAAGTCGGTGTCGAGCAATACGTTACTCGGTAGGTTTTTGATGAGTGATCCATCTACGACCGGTCCATAAGTGAAGGTTCCGTAGACGGGCGTGTTCGCGATTTGATCGGCATTGGCCGCAATCAATTGATCCGGTGGAAGAGACCGTGCTTCCTCAATGGATGAGACATTCAGCAGTTCGAGGAATGCGTCTCGCGCTGACGTTTGCTGGTTTACCGTCAAGGGATACCACATTGGACTTTGGATTATGGCCTGGCGAAAGGGGAGGTCTTTTGCTTCCCTGCTGCCTCCATAAGCGGCCAGCTGATGAACGATAGACCCTGCACCAGCTGACTGACCCATGACGGTGATGCGGTCTGGATCTCCGCCAAACAGGTCGATATATCGCTTCACCCACTCCAGTGCGAGCCGTTGGTCGTAGAGACCCGCATTAGCAGTGGTTCCATTGCCATCCGACAACCAGCCGAAAGCGCCTAGCTGTAGAAGTCAGCACCGTCGTCGAGCCCCTCGGTTCAAGAAAGGGACTTACCCGATAATTGATTGCCACATAAACAATCCCATCCTCGTCGAGCATACTGCGTTGCATCAAACCTAAGGGGTTCTGCTCCGACTTGTCGCCAGAGATATATCCCCCGCCATCAATCCAGACCAGGACCGGAGCCAACTTATTGCCTTGTTTCTGCTTCTGCTGAAGAGTTTTCTGCTCGAAAGTTGTCTTGGGAACAACAACATCCAAGAACAGGCAGTCTTCAGTCACTTTCTCGTCGCCCCCTATCGACCCGGCGAAGGGAGAATATTCCCTCGGGGGACTGGTTGATGCTCCTTCCCCTTCTTTCAGTACGGGTGTCGACACTGCAGCCGATGCAGAAGACAACACCTCGGCCACAAACCCGGGCATAACCTCCTCCTCCCACTTCAACGTAGCCTGCGGACACACCCTGCCCTGTGCTCCGGTCTGCACTACCGACCGGTTTCCCTGAGCTGGGGGAATCGATGGTCGGAAGCGAAGGGACCCGGTCGGTGGCGCAGCGTAGCGGATATTGCTGAAGTTGTAAGTTTGCGTTTGTTCCTGGAGATCGGTTAGGACCGGGTCTTTCTGCCTCACGGGATCGAGGTATGACATACATCCAGAGAAAAAGCTTGATGGAGCTCGTACCCCAGATCTACGATGGGGAGGTTGGTTTTTGTTGTTGTTGGTGGTGGTGGTGGTGTTGCTGCTGCTCCTGCCATCCCTAAGAAGAGGATAGACTGGAGGAGTAGGGGGGTCGTGACGTGCATTTTTTTGTCGGTGGGAGGGGGTAAGTTGTTTCATTTCTTGGGTGGGTGGGTGTGTTGTGGTGGGTTGATTGAGGATTTTGATTCTCTCGTGGGGAGGGCTCCACATATCAATTGTGTAGGATCTTCATATATGAGATGATTTCCGTAGGCAGGGGCAGAAACATTCAATCAACATGCAATCAATTCGGGATGGTGGATCGATAGTCTTGTAGCTGGGAACGGGTTCGGACTTCCGGATTCGGAAGCGAAGTATATAGGCCGCGGATAGAAGTCGAACCTAGGCAAGGGATGGTGGTGACGTTCCGGGGACTGGAATGTGGACGGGCCGCAACGGGTGTCCGTCTCGTACGTATCCTTCCTTGCCTTACTTCGTGTTTCCCAGTTTAGTCGAGGGAAGAGAGAGGATCCGTAAGATTTCAGCTAGTGGGATGGCCTCTTGTCAGTCGCTGGGGGTCTGCATCTAGTTGAATTGGGTGTGTGGTGTTCCAAGCGGGTAGAAGAGACCAACCCAGAGGGAGTCTAGCTACATTACTTGCACTGCTTCATATACCAGACTTGTTCACCTCGGACCTTCATTCGGTGACCTGTACACAAGCGTTCGTGACAAGCTGCAATCCTACTCGATCCCCAACGATAGATAGTCCAGCAAGGTACAAGTCGATATTCTCAACCCATCCTATCCTACACATCCAACCTACCACCCCCCACCCCCTCCCAAACTAAGAATCCGTCACCTCCCGAACCTCAAACCCCATCATCCCATTCGACACCACCCCCGGATCCCCCCGCAACTTCCGCGCAGTCTCCGCCCCCGCCGCCGGCACGCGATACTCCCACCGCCTGCCCTCGCCCTCGCCCTCGCCCTCGCCCTCGCCCTCCCCCGCAGGCAGCGACACCGCATACGGAAACGGGAGAAACTGAGGCAACAGCCCCAACTGCCGCAGCACGGTCGCCTGATCCCACGCGATATGCTCATGATACAGGCGATCGCCGCGGATATTGACGACGGCGGTGAAGGGGACGCGGAGGGGGCGGCCGGTGGGCGGGATGCCCGGGACCAGCCAGTCCACCACTGTGTCGTGGGTCATGCACAGAATGAACTCGTCGACGACGCGGTCCACGCCGACGGTGCGGCTGATCAGCTCCAGGGACGTATCCGCTGGGTTGGTGTGGATGAAGTGTCGCTCGTAGAAGTGGGTGAGGGCTGGGCGGCCGGTGCCGCCTGTCATCTGTAGACCCCGTCAGCATCCCGGTGTTAGTCAGTGTGGTGTTAGTTAGTGTGGTGTGGTGTGGTGTGGTGTTCCAGCCAGTCAGTCAGTTGGTCAGTCGCTATGCCAACGGCGTCAATCCACCCCATCCACATCCTAGAGGGATAGGGAATGGGAATGGGAATGGGAATGGGAGCATACCGTCGGAATATGATTCACATACGGCTCCTGCACCATGGTGGCCATGGTCTTCTCGACGGACCGGTCCCCAAACTCGTGGTGCGTGTGCTCCTCCCAGATCTGCTCGAGGTCGAAGTACGGCCCGCCCATGCGGGGCTTGAGGAAGGTCAGGGACCGCGTGTGCGCGACCCCCGCGGCGCTGGGCGTGAAGTCCGCGTGGCCGGGCACAATGAATCCGGGCGAGGGGGTGCCCGGGTAGTGGTGGACTTTCGTGGGATTAGTACTCTCTGGGAGGGCTTCTCCCGCGGGGAGGTGAAAGAGAGCTGGGAGGGTGGTGGGTGGATTCGCCCAGCTGCTGAAGTAGATGGCTGCTGCTGCTGCTGCTGCCACGGGGATTTGCGCTGTGGTGGTGAGAGCTGTAAGGGATTGTTGGAGGAGCTGGGGGAAGGAGGGGGCGTAGTCGCGTGGGGAGCCGTAGACTTTGTTTCTTTAGTTCTGCTTCGCTTTCTTCTTGCGGGCCTGGAGGTAACCATAAGGGGCGGGTAGAAGACTCGGAACTCACTCAGAACCCCGAACTTGGCACCGCTGCCACTGCACTGCGGGTATCCGGATAACGCCCGTACAGCGGCGGAGATAGCATCCGCGACACCTGCCGCGTCGCCGCTGCTCACGGCGTCGAGGGTGATCTCCACCACGGTGTAGCTCTCCTCGGCCCATTTCTGGATCGGGGCTGGGTCGAGCGTGGTGTTGTTTGCCTGGCAGTTGACCAGGTTGGCGGGGCGGATGAGGAGCAGGCCTGGGCCTTCGCCGCAGCGGGAGAGCGGGGGTTGGAGGGTGATGGTTGGGGATATGGTGATGGGGGGAGCGGAGGGGAGGGTGGGCGGGGTTATAGTAGTCATGGTTGATTAATTGATTGACTGGGTGATTGACTGATGGACGTGGGACTGTATTTTACTGTGCATTTCATTGTCAAAGGAAAGCTACCTGGGAAGAACGACGCTTTGATATATGAATGACTCCCCCGCGATGTCGGATCGGATCCCGGCAACTGCAGGCAGCGGGTGACGGTTGATAAGAACAGTAAAAGCAAAACATTGGGACTCGATGCGGGGACCAAGCGATATCGATAACGATATGATCCTCTGATTGGGAGGAAGCGATTTGTATAAAATACAAAAAGATGTGCATCATCCGTGAATCGAACACGGGCCTCATCGATGGCAACGATGAATTCTACCACTAGACCAATGATGCTGGTTGATGTCAGGGGTATTTTAATTTTACATGATGATTCAATGGCAAAATAATCAGGTATGGAGCTGTGCAGCTGGGGATTCCCGACTGCGATTTGTCATAATTTAAGCGTTGCTTTATTTAATATGTTATAGTGGTCTATTAATCATTGATGAAGAGCTTTAAAGGATCATGGATTGTTAGGATACTTCGGCACTGCAGCCGGCTGGCCATCGGATTGCATATATTTCGAATCCCCCTCTGCTCATTGAGAACCAAGATCGCCCCCCCAAGAGAAGGCCTGTACCCATCGCAACCCCCTAAAACCACCCCCCAAACAACTACAAACCTACACCAATTCATACACCAACTAAAGAACCACCCAAGAATCTATTCCGCTACCAAGCACGAAAACAAATCCCATAAATCAAAACCATAAATCACAAACCAGGGGAGACAAACATAAGCCCCCCCCCAAAACAACCACCAAAGAACAAACCGCAGCACACAGAAAAAAACCACAGCCGTGTAAATCATAAGTCACAACCTCACGAAGTAATACGCAAGACGAAAAAAAAAAAAAGAAAGATGTACCCATAGACTGCGCCAAACGCTTGCCCGCGCAATGCACGAATGCGAAAGAAATCTCTCTACCACATCGGAAGGGAAACCACCAACCCATCAAAAGGTCTACTCCTCGCCCAAGCTATCGCGAACGCACTTGCGCACCCGCTTCTTGAATTCCTGGGGATTCTCGCGCCATAACCGCGCGGCCTCGACGTTGGCGGGACTCTCGTCGTTGGGGCTGGACAGCATGGAGATGACGGAGAGCAGGATCGTCTCGGGGGTCTGCACGGGGGACCAGCGCTCGGCGGCGGATTCGTAGCCGTACTTGTCCTCCTCGGGCGGGTGGAGGATGGAGATGCAGACGTCGCCGTTGGGGTAGACTATTAGTTCGAGTCGTGTTAATAGCATGTCCGAGAGAAAGGGGGAGCTGCGAGCCGGATTCGAGTCCTTGTCGGGTTCAAGGCTCGAGGCTCGAGACCTGCGAGAGGGAAAACATACTGTTCGGGTGGAAGAGAGGAGTCTCAAACTTCATCTTCGGCGGCATGTGGGGGTAATCCGGGGGGAAGGAGAGTCGGGCGCGGAAGAAACCGCCTGTTTTTGACTCGGTGTTAAAGCCATGCCACTGTTATGTATTGCTAGAGGACTCACCGCCGTAAAGCTTGACATCATCGGAGATCATGAGCATCACCTCCCACTCGAAGACGTTGCTGTCCACCAACCCGCAGCTGATGCCCGGGATGTCCTTGTCGGATTGCATCTGCTGCAGCTGCCGTGACAGCATGCGACCGGCGGCGGTGGTGGCCATGGCGTTGACGTGGAGGGGAAAAGAGGGGGCGGCGGGGGGAAGGGAAGCAAAGGAGGGGATCTCGAGGGGTGGAACGAGGTGGAACGGGACCGTGAGAGGGATGAGAGGGGTGTGTAGCGGCGAGAGAAACACACGGGGCTTCAGTGGCTCTAGGAAGAGTTCGCTTGTACGGCAAGAAGAGGTGAAAATCTCACCGAAGAGAAGAAGGATGAAAGTGACTCTGTATAGTCTACCCTGGGGGAAGAGGGTCGACAAACGGACTGACTGGTCAGAGGAGAAATATCGATGGATCCAAGGCGGTGTGCTCGAAAGGGAGAGTGGGGTGGCGGGGCCGCCGGACGATAACATTTCATCCCCCGATAGCCTCCCCTTCACTGGCCCGATCGCCCTTGGTGGCGTAAGGGAAGTGCCTGTCTACGTAGTGCTGGAGGGATGTATGATTATTCGCAAATGCCGGAGAAGGCGACTCCTCCTAGCCCAAGGTACTCACGGCACATGCGTGACTACGCACTTGTCAGGGTATTTTGGTGTCGACGTCAGCGATTTGATCCTACCCCGGACTACAATTCAAAGCTCTAATCGACTTCAGACCGGCCCATGCGTGTGGCATCCATTCCACTACCTAGACCGTGCTGATAGATACAAGAGAGTGGAGGGCTCAACTGATGTTGAAACGGTGAAACAGAATTTATTCACATATATAGAACGGAGACACGTAGTCCAAATGACTGAAGGGGGGTGATCGTAAAGGTGGAGGTAGAGCAAAACGTCAATCTGCTTAAGCGTTGTTTCTGGGGAACCCGTAAGTCACAGCTCCGGCAAGGATCTGGCCGGTAAGCAGCAGCGTGAAGAACATGGTCACGCCGGCCTCGATAGCAACGGCCTTGCACATCGACTTCACGAAGCGGGTCAGGGCCGGGCGATCGAGGGTCTTCCAAGCATCGGAGATGCCGAGCTTACCACTGCCACCCAGGATGGCAGGCTGCACCTTGCCGCCGTAGGAGCGGTCGAAAGGCACAATAGCCTCATCCTCTTCAGGAAGCATGGAAGCAGCCACGCGAAGGAAGATGGCCCGCGCAGGAATGGAAACCACAAACGACACCACGGTGGGCAGAAGGAGGAGACCATAAATGGTCCAGATAGCCTTGGCGAAAGACGGATCGGTAGGGGTGAAGGAGTTCACATCCTTAAGTCCGTCAAAGCCGCCAAAGGCATCGATGAGGAAAAGGGGACCGTACAGGCCGGCGCCAGTGACGGCATGCTCGAGGGCCGCAACGGGAGCGATCCGCTTCCACGTCTGGAAGCCCCCAATGCGCTGGTAGAAGCGCTTGGGGGAGGGCTCCGAGATGACAATGTGGACCCACGCGAGCTGGAGGTTGGCCACCAGAACGCCGCTGACAACGTACATAATGTAATGAGGAAGGAACGCGGCGGCAGAAAAGGGCACCAGGGAGTAAACAGCCGACTGAGCAAAGCCGTATGCCAAGTACATGCTCAACCCGCGGAAACGGGACCAGGGACCGGCCCGGGCGCGAAGATGGCGGATGGTAGTGCATAACTTGTTGGTGATGGGCTGCGGGCGGGTCTCGATCTCAGGCTCGGTCGCATCGACGGGCTTGTTCGGGTCGAAGTCGGTATCGATGCGGACGTAGATATCAGGGTTCGTGTCTTCCACAATAGCGAGGGTAGGAACCAGCTGCCCGTAGGTGTACTCGACCTAGAATAGATAAACATTAGGATGACGCGACAGTTGAAATCACCCTGGGGGAATGCTTACCGAAAGAAGAATGGCAATGAAAGCGAGGACGGTGAAGATGAAGAAAGCCGACAGCCACCCCGCCAAATGGATGGTTGGCTGGCTCTGGGAGGGCTGCTTGGACTGGTAGTCCACAGCAGCCTCCACTCCTCGACGAAGGAGGGAAGCGATAGCCATGTGGGCGATATATGAAAACAGTAGGAGTTAAATGTTGGATGAAGGAACGGTGATGGGAAGATTGTTTTTTGACAAGTTTGAGAGCGAAAGACGAACAGTTGGATGATGGGATGGATGATGGAGTGAGGAAAGACAAAGAATTATAAGCCGGGGGAGGGAAGGGAAAGGTGGGTGTGATTAGTTCATATCGAGGGGGTGCCTGGAGGCTGCCACAACCTGAAGGATCAGGCAGACATCCAGTCACAGGCAGTAACGCGGCTGAGCAGCCTATCAGTGGTTTGCCCAGGTTGGCTAGTCTAATATTAGTGCGGCCGATGTGGGCCGATACGATGGAGAACCTTGAAGTTAAGGAGTTTGAGTTGTATTCTTAGCAGCCGATGGTGGCCAATCTGTGGATGGTCAATAGGATTGTCCTCTGAGAATGGATTTTTCATAAAAGAAACTTCAATCTTCATTCAATATATCGATAACCTATTGTATTGTCGTGATGTACCCAGTATGCAGACCCTTAATAAAGCAGACACCTATATATGCCTCTTATCCTAGCCAAACAACCTCACAATAGACCATCAACATAATCTACCGTAATAACAAACTAAAGGCCCCAGTTCAAGTAAGTCAAGGCATCTCCTCCGGCTCCCAAGCCAGCTCCCTCGTCTTCATCTGCTCGACTTTCCGACTCACAATCTGTTCCATACACCGTGTCTCCTCTTCACTCAACAACCCCAATCTCTCCTTCCAGCGATCTTGGACAGCAATTGCACAGGAACCAAAGAACCTGGGATCAAGCTTCTTCCAGAAGACCATATCAAAGGCGAAGCTCTTTCTCGCAGCATACGTGACCCAAAAGTCGCCATTCTCCCAGCTGTGTCGCATGGGACCCGAAAGTCTCTGTTCCGGGTTCAACCTGCCCCGTTGCATCGCTGTCTCTTCGCGCTCTGTGAGAACTTTGAGGAATGTTTGTAGACGATATTCGTATGACTTTTCCCACGCCTCTAGACCATCTGGCCAGTACTCTGGCTGTTCGAGCAGCAACCACCAAGGCGGTGCATGAGAAAATTGAACCGGCGCCGCATAGGTGAACTCCCAGTCGATAACACCGACGATCTGCAGGTGCTCGTTGAGCAGGATGTTCGAGGGCCGAAGATCGTCACACCAGAGCTTGAAGGGTCCATGATCGTTCCTTGAGGAAGCCAAGCGCCCCTCACTAGCGACTCTGGAAAACAGCCGTCGGGCGACGAACCTACGCCGACAGTCATCTGCCGAGTCTACGGCATCGTTGCGCTGGTGGTACAGATGCTCGCAATGGAGGTCAGCGAGGGCCTGAAAATAGTCGGATCCCGTCTCGAATGTGGTGGTTGGCAGTTTTGACCGTGGGAGAGTCCCTAGACGGACGAGCTCGTTCATACCAATCGATAGAGGGCGATGCTTGGGCTCCCATGTGAAGTCATCGACCTGCATAAGAGAGCCGATCGGAGAAAGTGATAACCGCGATAACTGAAGTAAGATGTCGGCCAGCTGGCCGTACAGCATTTCCAGCTTATCAAGATCAACCGCTGGATCGAGGATTGGGCGGTCTTCGACTCCGAGCGTTGGAGTGTTCAATGCCTCACCCAGATCCATAGTGTGGTCAATGTACTCCATCAGGATAAATGGGCCAATACCAAGAGGGCTCTCCTTCCTCGTTCCCCAGTGCAGGATGAATGGCACAGGGATCGAGGTATTCTCTTGAATGTACCGCATCGTCGCCACTTCATTTCTCACTTTTTCCTCTGGGAACATGGTGGTCCCAGGCTTAGGGAAGCGGATCAGTGCTGAGCCACCATCTTCGAACTTCATCCGAAACGACACGTTGAATGTCCCCGCACGGGGTTGACACAGCTCAGTTGGAACTCCCCTTCGATGCTTGATCATGAAATCGCCGATGGCCCGGAGAGTGTCTTGTTGAAACAGCTCTGCCACCCAGCTATCTGAGACGACCTCGCTTTTTTCCCAAGCAACATCATCAAAACACATGCGCTTCTGCATCCTTCTTGCTAGGCGGTTCAGTAAACAAAAATTCTATCGAAGTGGGCAACTTAGAGAGGAAAGTAGATTGGGTGACAGTGTACGGCAAAAGTATGAGAGTGGAAGCAACTGGCTTCGAGGTTAGATGTAAGCGACAGGGATGTCTGCCTCGACACCCAAAGTTCAAGTCCTTGAGATAGGTCTTTTTTAGCCTCATTTGGTACAGGCCAATTAAAGGACAGAATTCGTGTGTTGCTGGGGGGTTCTACGGTCGGGACCGGGCGGGGTGGACTTACCTCCCCCGGGCCCCGCCCGGACTTCCCAGCTTCAGGGCTGCACCTGGCCTGTGCCGCGGGCGCTCCGTGGATAACGAGCCAATACTTATGGTCCGACTAGCGCCGGTGTCCCACTCGCCATGAGTAGAGGGGCATAGCAAGGCATCATGATGGTGACTAATATACACTAGTCGAGAATATGCGACTCTGTCACACACCGTTAGCATACCTCCTAGCAATACCCATGTCCTGTTTGAAGCCTATATCCAATCACTGACACTAGTGGGCGGTTACAGTCTCATCCCAAGTGGAAAGTCCATGGCGATTACTGTTATAGTGAGGGGAAGCGGAATCGTTATGCGCACTGTCTTCACTGGGCATGGAAACTATGTCTATAAAAATGGATACATTTCCTCCTCGATGCTAGTCTCCAGAGCAAGATCATCTCTTTTCATACTCTTCCTACCACCACTTTGTTCTTCCAACAACCAAGCCAAACGGTACGGACCCAAACCTTGAGATATCTGATTATAGGTACCTGGCTAATCGAAGTTTCTCCAGGCCCCCTGAGCACGATGTCTTCAAAGGCCAACGAGCGTGACCAAACGAAGTATCAAATCGGCATCTCCTCATCAAACGCAGAAACCCTACGAAAGCAGGGAAATGCGTCTGGCGAAAGACGCGGAAAGGCTTATGGATCAGACGCATACAAGCTGCCCAATGCCCAAGAGGAAGAGAACATGAGAAATGCCGGCATTGAATCATCAGAAAGAAGGAGGCATGTGACTGAGAACATCGCTAATCAGTACCGGTCGAGCTCGGGTTAGAAGACATTACGGGCACCCGCTACGAGAAAAGGGCCCTCTTCAAGAATTTCCAGGACGCCTCGGTTGGGAGATATCATGAATCTGACAGAGGACGCGTGTTGTATTCGTGGTTTGTTGATGGCGCTGAGCGAGGTTTCTATGCCTTCACATTTCGTGCTGTATTCATTGCTTCTGATCCATTCAAGGAATCCATCCTAGGGAAGGCTACTTATTCCTAGAGGGATAGGCTTGACTTGCACTTATAGATCAACGAAAGCCCCGAGTTTGGCATTGTTCCTTAAATCAGACTGGATCTATTAAGTATGCATGTCAATGCAGTTGATTTGACTCTTTAGATCTGATACAGAGAATCAAGTACAATGATAGGATCTCTCAGACGCTAGCCACGGAGCTTCGAACATGGAAGTCATAGTAAGACCGCTGCTAAGCAGGAACCAGGAAGTCCTGGAGATGTACAAGTAACCAAAGGGTTCATTAGCCGCAATGTTATACATGCCAACATTGGTGATCCAGAGAAAAAGATATAAAATCCAATAATCCAGACCATTTCTCATGACAGACATCATCGTCACAGAAAAGAAAAAGCTAACATACAGTATCATACATATCACCCAGACCGCTCACTAAAAGAACTCAAATCTCGCTATAAACTCATCATCGTCGTCATCATCATCATCATTATAACCATAAAGCCCAACCAGGGGCTATCTCAAACCATAACACCAGTAACCCACCGCGCCGCGGCCCTCACAACGCCCTCCACGATATCCATCTCCGCCTCGTCGCGGGGCGCATACACCATGACCCAGCCCTGCGGCACGGCCGGCAGGGGAAACCGCTGGCCCCAGCCCTTTTCGATGACCTCGCGCGCGTCGACATCGCTCAGCCACACGTGCAGACTGTTCTCGGCCGGGTGCATGTGCGCGATCTCGTAGCTGAGGATGCGGTCGCCCGCCAGCGGGTTGAGGGTGGGCAGGTTGCGGCGCGCGTACAGGCCGTCCGTGGTGCGGCCCTCGGTGTGCGAGGGCATCAGGTCGAAGAGCTCCGGGTGGGCGGTGGCCAGGTCGTGGACGAGGGCGCGCAGCCGCGCCTGCACGGACGGGTCGATGGGCTCCGGGTACTGGCGCTGCGGGAGCGTCCGCGGCATCATGCGTGGGCGCGGCCCCGAGCGGAGCGGGAGCGTGCCCGTGGGTAGGTAGGAGGGCCCCGTCTTTTGCAGCGGGGCCGGGTCGCGGAGGTTGTTGTTCTTGGAGAGGGCGCGTCGGGCCCGGAGTTTTGACATGCGCATGTATCCGCTACATTGTTTTGGTCAGTCTCTGTAAAGAGAAGGGAGAGGGTGGATGGAGTCATGTGTGAGGGAGGGAGGAACTTACGCCCAGGTCGGCGGAGTCCCGCCCGTGCCAAAGGCTTTCCATTCTCGGAAGTCGTTGACTGTCCTACACATCGCAACGCATACCCCGTTAGCGCCGTAGACCATAGACCCCTGAGACCAGGCTTGTAAAAGTGATTGTTGGGAAAAGAAAATAGGGTTGTTTCATTCAAGGTACCAGACAAGGCCAATGATCGCGGTCGCACACAGCCCTGTGACCACCGGATTGGATTTCAAGGTTTCAAAGACATACTTGGATGAGGTGGGTAGCGCTGCCATGATTTCCGTATGCGAATAGGGAAGAAGACTTAGGTATGGGCGAGTCTAGAGTCAAGAGACAGAGCGATGGAATCGGTGAGATTGATGACTGACGTCAACTGCTGGCTGGTTTTCCTTGCTGGAAGGCTTGAATTTTCCTACTCCAAGGGTTCAACTTTGGGCTCATTTTAATAGCATCCATTGTGCCGGTAGCTTAGAGCTCTGTTCGTCTTCACTGATGGTGGACATACGCAATTGACCTCATGCCAGCGTCATGAATGGCATGGAACGCCATCGGAGAAATGAAAGGGTTCGCCACAGTGAGGGTAAAGTGAGGTGACCGAAGTATGGGGAGCTCATACACACAACGCAGTTAGCACAGTAGCACAACTCATTCACTTAGTCAGATCCTCGATTTGAGGGGAGGCGATATGCATGGCATCGATGGGCAGTGGTTAGGGTATGAGGTATGTGGATCGGGGAAAACACTGTCGAGGTGAAGATATGATGAAGAATGATGCTGATGGGGGGCTAGAACGGGCGGCGATCGTCCATAGTCCCTGAATGACGTTATCCCCGCCTCGACGGTTGCAACAACTGGCAAATGAACGCATCGTATCCCATGCCCACCACAGTCCTTCGAGAATCAATCGAAGCTGAGCTTTGGTGCGGCATGACCCGGGGTATAAACTGCCAATTTGCTCTTGACTCGGGTCACAAAGCTGCTGAGGTGACTTCCACGATTCAAGCTGGTAAACATACTATTTCTCCATGTATTAGGTCGTGCAAGAATCAGATGTCAAACATGCATGCCATCAATCATAGCCGATCGTCCACTGTTTGTTGTTGGGAGGCAAATGCCCCTGCTGGGAAGGCGGGGTCCTGATATCAATGGCTTTGTTCAGCTCGGTGCTCATGTGGGGCCGGTCTATTTGACGGTTGCATACCGAATCTGCAAGTCATCGTGGTGACATTCCTTGGAACCATTAAGGTTGCTTCTCGAAGTCGACTCGAACCATTTTACTTGGTGGTTCTTTCGTATATGCTCAAATCTTAACGCACAGACATCTGGGGTCATAAGACCCGGGGATCTTTACATGCACATATCGCAAATCGTAGTAATGGCATAGTCCCGAGAAGCTGCGTAGAGGCATATCACAAGAATGCGAAGGAAGCAGAATTGAAAGAATGTATTGATTCAAGAAGCTAATGACAAGTCCTGCATACCATTAATCCATACGTCCTGCTCCAACCCCCGTGGCCAGAGCAGGAGACTGGCACATTATCTACTAGTCATTATCGCATGACCCGTCATATTAGAATATACAAGCCGCATTGGAAACATCACAAGTCATAAACCATAATAGTGAGATACACCCGAGTCGTAGTTGTGCTTCGATGCTGGACGCGAACGCAGCCAAGATTAAGCGACCAACCTATCGTAATCGTTCATTTAGATGAGAAGCATGGCGGCAAGCCCGAAAGCACCGAGAGCACCGCTACCGGCAACGTTCATCTGAGAGGCAGCGCCGGTGGAGGTCGAAGAGCTTGCGGGGGCGGTGCCGGTGCCAGTGGAGGAGCTGCCAGAAGAGCCGCTGCCGGAACTGCCGGTGGAAGAAGATCCGGTGCCAGAAGCCGAAGAGCCAGTGCTGCTGAGAGTAGCAGTGCTCAGCGTCGTGCTGGTGATGGCACTAGTGATGGTGGTCTTGGTCTTGGTATGGTCAGCATACTAGCTCGCGAGATAGGGAACAAGAGTGTACTCACGGTTCCAGCAGAAGTAGTGGATGCGCCACTGGTGGTCCCAGAGTTGGTTCCAGTAGTCACGGTGGTGGTGGTAGCCGCACCCGTGCCGCTGGAGGTGCCGCTGCCACTGGAGGTCGAAGCAGAGTTGGTCGAGGCGCCCGCAACACCAGTGGTGGTTCCGGAGGCAGTGCCAGAGGCAGTTCCGGTGGCAGATGAACCAGTGCTAGAGCCGCCTGTAGAGGGAAGGTTAGTATCTTTCGAGTCAAGAAGCACACGCAGTGCTGCTGATTGGGTCACATACTGGTCGAGCTAGGGCAAGAAGCCAAAGCCGTGGACAGCACAGCAGCGGCGTTGTCACCAGGGCAGGCCTGAGCGGTGCAGTCACGGATACCATAGCTGTAGTTGACGTTGTTACACAAGCAGCTGAGATCGCCGCTAGAGCAACCCAACTCGGAAGCCTTGTTGTTCATGTTGTTGACGCACATTTGCTAGAACGCGAATAAGTCAGTTGTCATCGATCAGCACTTGTTGCTGTCGGGTAAACATACTGCGCAGTCGCTAACAGAGATGGCAGCATTGGCAAGGTTGGCAGCAGCCAACAGCACCATGGAAAGCGAGAAAGTCTTCATTTTGATGAGATAGAGAGCAGGCACGCGCAAAGAATGAGGATAGATCAGAGAAGCGAAGTGAGGCGAACAAGAGGGGGTATCAACGAAGTGATTGACGCGGAGCACGAAGACGAGTGTGTGTTGTGGAACAGTACGATGGTTGATGTGGAAGGGAGAAGGAAAAGAAGTGTGAGGCAACGAGGGGGGAAGATGAGCCGATTTAAGTTATGAGGAGGTGGGAAAGAGCGCGCAAATCATTCATCGCCTGAAGTGCTTTCCTTTTCCTTCTTTCTGTTGTTGGCCGCATCGGACTGTTTTTTTTTTTTTTTGTTCTTTCTTATTTTTCTTTTACCCGCTGCGTTGATCCCTAATTTCCACTCTTGTTTGTCCACCTAGTTCCCTTTTCAATTTTGATTTTATTTATTTCTTTTTCCTTTTCTACCTAGCATCAGTCTAGGACTAAGTAGCACGATTGTCACTGGCTGATGAATGATTGTTTGTCAGGCAGCTGTCCAGCCAACGTGGCTGAGGACAGCTTCACGGTCACGGTCACAGTGCCGGGTGAAGTCATGGAGGCATGATCTCCACTCGAGCTAGCCCTATCGTTCTTGATCCCTACGCAGCAACAGCCTGTTAGATTGACTGTCGTGGCTTACTGGAAGCTCCTGGCTAGCCCTACAATGCCCTCATAGGTTGATTGTGAAGGAAGATGCATTAGTTTCCTGCAACCAGTGGCTATCACGAGTGCCAGAATCAACAGCGCTGCAGATGCGCCCAGATGGGGTTCCGGGAAAAGGGACTGCTGCTGTGGCTGGGAGGGTTGTGATCAACCCAGACCCAGACGGCGAACTCCACCCATCATCGACAACTCGAGCTTCATTGGTCTACCTCAGTTTCTCTGGACGGTCTGCTCACCGAATTTTCTAAATTATCATTTGGGATCACTTTCTCGGGGCCATTGACTGGCTTTGGAAATGGCCGATGGTTCAATTGTTGAAGCTTTGAGCGGGTGGTTCTCTGATCGGAGAGATTTGTGTAGGAATGACGGCACGATGAGAGATGGGCTGTCCTACCAACTACGTCAGAGTCGATGCCACTGCATGCTGGGTACCCAAGATTTGACTAGGGATACTCTAGTAAGGGTTTGCTGGTGGTCAAGATGGATGCAGGGGATCGTCACTGCCGATCCTTATTGGGCCCTTTGGCAATCAGCCCACCGCTGATGTGGCTGACCGTCGGCTCCCTAGCCACTTATCATTTATGGATGTGGATGCAAAAACAAATGAGGGGAACCGGGCACCGCACCGCACGGCACTCTTTTGCAGTGTCGCTGGAATCGCTTCCAGCAGCTGTGGGGAAGTGTTGCTGAATTTTCCACCACCAGCTCGAAGTCTCGAACTTTATCTCTGGCCAGTCGGTCGCTAACCATGGACCGACACGGGATCTATCGAGCATTCGCCCAGACCATCCATGATTAGCTTCGGCTGCCGCGAAAGATAAAAGATAGGTAACCAGCCACCTGTGTTTACTTCTCTCAAGGTTGCCTGAACCTTGAGATCCTGAGGTGCAGGAGGGGTATGTTAGGGACTAGACTGCGTCGCAGAACCAAGGTCATCCTGGTTAAGAAAATTGCTCGAGCACTGGAGCTGGAGCACTGGCCGTGGAGCACTGGTGGAGGGTTCCCATCGGGTGGTCGAAGCATGGTCCAAACAAAAATCGGGTCTTTTCCACTAGCGATCCAAATACTCCGCTCCACTCGTGAGAGAAAAGAAGCTTCCAATGCGGTCGGTCAATGTCAATTGCTTTTGTTTGTGGCGGTGCAGTTGCTGCAGTAAGTTGCTTTTCCTCTTTTCCTCTTTGGGATCAGCCCCGGAGCTCGACCGAGAGACGAAATGACGTCATCTCTTTCTGGGGAGGAGAAGGGAAAGGGAAAAGAGTGCCAGCACTGCCAGGTGAGGGCCAGCACTGCTCCAGGCTGTAAGGGATTATTCCCATTGTCATCACCATTAACATCACCCTCATGTCACCCTCTTAATCAATTAATATCCTGGCTGACTATCAGGAATGTGGCTTCACGCTCATTTCTGATCGTTGCGCATGCGAGGGCCACCCCTGACGCTACCTTGGGATTTCGGACCCATGATGATGCATCACAGCAACAAGAAAATCTAGGGAGTATGACTTCAGAGAACCATGGGCAGAAGTTTCTTTGGACCCTAACTAACAGCCCCTTGACCCCCTGAGCTTAGAACTTTATTTGACTCTAAAATTTAAGGGAGTGGCTGATCTGCTAGGGCTGACCACATGCAGCTGCATCGTCTTGCATTTCCCAAACCTACCATTGGATGTACATAGCGCTTTCTAGTTTCTACTACATAGTAAGTACTTAAGCAGCAGGTTGGCAGGAGTCTAATTACATGCCCTGTGCCTTGATCTGAGGCAACTTTGTTCGCTCCGTCACTTCATGCGACAAAGAGAGACAGACCAAAATTAAGGATGACCCAATCTTTGCATCAACCTCGTATCAGTTTGTGCACCTCTCGATCGTAAGACAGAATGATCAAGGCTCATGACATTACAGAAACCTGGTAGCTCATGAATTGATCTCCACAATTACACAATATTGACAATATTTGCACAGAATCAGCCACGTCCGAGCGCCGCCATCATGGAAGAACCACCCCCCACAGAAACATGAATCATGAGATGAGAACCCTACTTGATACTAGTGTTCCTGATGGAAGGCAGCAGCATTCTCACCGGCTATCCTGCCGAAGACGACACACTCTAAGAGGGAAGAACCTCCCAGACGATTCTGGCCGTGAAGTCCGCCCGTGATCTCGCCTGCAGCCCAGAGGCCTTGGATGGGAGCGCCGTCCTTGTCCAGCACTTGACTCTGCTCGTTGATCACGACTCCGCCCATGGTGAAGTGCACAACAGGCGTGACCTTGCCCACGTAGACCACCGAATCGGAACTCACCTCCTTCAAGGTCCAGTTCCCGAACGCGGTCCGCCCGAACACGTCCGGCGTCTTCCCCGACACCACATCGGCATAGCCCTGGAGCGTGTCGCGAAGGGCTGGGAGCGCCAGCTCGCCGACCGTGGTCTTGCGCATCAGCCCCTTCCACCGGTAGAAATCGAGATGCGTCTTCGACGCCGCCGCCGCCCCTTCGTCCATCAGCAGCGAGACATCCCACTGGCGCAGGCCGGTCTCCTCCTCCAGCGGACTCGCGCTCGCCATGACCGCGGCGGTGACTTGCTCGCGCGTCGTCAACTCATCGACAAAGCGCCTTCCCCGACCATCCAGCAATATCCCGCCCTCACCGCGCAGCGCCTCGGCAGCGAGAAACTTCACTCTGGCTGCAAGATCCTTCGCGTCCACGAACCCCGTCGGATGCACCTGGACCTGCTCCATATCGACGACCGCCGCCCCCACCGCCTCCAGCAGCGGCTGCGTGCCCTCGCGTGCGTCGTTCGTCGACGGGATCCCCGCTAGATCCGGCCGGTACTTCTCCAACAGCCCATGCGTGTCACCGGCAAAGCCGCCCGTGGCGAACACCAACGGCCCATACAACGTCTCGGTCCGATTACCCTCCCCCTCCTGCCCCGCGACCTCCACCCCCAGCATCCCTCCTTTCCCCTCTTCCTGGCCTTCTTTCGCTGTAACCACCCTCGTGACTCTCGTATTCGTCCGCAATTGAAACAACGGCTCCCGATCCAGCGACTCCAACAGCGCACTCACGATCGCAAACCCAGGCGGCTTCTGGCCGGCGCCGCCGCGGTGCGTGCGCGCGCGGCTGTGGCCGCCCAACTGCGCCACGGTGCTCAGATCGACGCCCTGCTCGTCGGCGAGCCAGTCGACCGCCTCCGCCGAGGAGGTGACCAGCGTGGTGATGAGCGTCTCGCGCCGGGCGCGCTCCGCGTCGACGGAGGCGGCGAGCGGCCGGCCGGCGGAGCGGCGCGTGTCGGCGAGGAAGAGGTCCGCGGCGTCGTTCTGCAGTGGGGGCTGAAAGCGCGTGGGCGCGCCGTTGATGCCGGACGAGGCCTTGATGCTGTTGCCCCCGGGTTTGGCGGCGCGATCCAGCATGACGACCGGGATGCGGTGCGCGATGAGTTGGGTGGTCGCGCAGAGGCCCGCGAGGCCGGAGCCGATCACTATTACTGCTTGTTCGGGGGACATTGGTGGGTTAAGTTGTGGGGTTTGCGTAGTGATGGAAGGAAAGAGACGAGATCGTGGAAGAGGGTGGGTGTGGATGGGTGGTAGGTTAATTGTAGAGTGTGAGGTTGCGTGAGTTGAGAGGAATCATACGGTGCGGTTCCCCGCATCGCCGGATAGGCCCCTGTATCACACCACTGCACTTGGGTATTCGTACCGTGGACCACCGTCTTGTTTTGCCGGGATGGCCCGTGGTATAAGCGGTTGTCATCTTTGATCGGGGAGTTTTATTCTGATCCAAGGTCAGTCGACCATTGATGGAGACAAGAGCTGATTGGGTGGGGAGAAGTATGTATATGAGGGTTTCATCCAGGATGCATACTGTAGTACCTCAGTAAGGTATAGTTACCCAACAACACTACCGACTACTTGATCTACATTGATTGACATTGATAAGTTAGTTAGGCGTACTGACGAAGACCCAGTCCAATCCATCCATTGCATAGTCAAAAAGGATACCAGGTACTACCTAGGTAGTTAAAATGCTAGGTAGTAGGGTGGTTGGGCTTCTATGGGCGGGGTTCAGGCTTGATTTTCACAATTTCCCTCTCCCTGCGCTGAGAAACAATCCCTTTCGCCTCCTCCGAAGTGCAAAGCATAGCGTGATCGGCCATGACACCAAGGCACTCAGTATCGTTCAGGGGTCCCAATGGTGGAATGCAGATCGGGTATAATCGATCTCCAATTCGGGTCGAATTCCATTCTCACGGTAGGTCCGTAAGTACCTAGTGGTATTATCCTTTCCCCCCTACTTCGAGCGATATTGGAAAGCTCCCTACGCTATCAGCTCCCTAACCTCTAGTTATTTTTGTTGGCATTGATCCACCTGCAGTCCGATTGCTTAGCATCAAAACTGACAGATTACTGACCCTAGCGACATCGTGCGCGCCGACGGACCTTGATCCCCAACGGTTGATCGAGAACGTCCGAGCCTGGCTGGCCTGGCTGTCGCCCGAGGACTTCTCGGCCAAACAGGATGATCTGCGAGCCGAATGGCCCGACAACGCGGGGCGATGGCTTCTCGACGACGCCCGGTTCCAGCAATGGGTGCGAAGCGAGCCGGGGATCCTCTTTTGTTATGGCATCCCCGGCGCCGGAAAGACCATGATGGCCGCCGCGGTGGTGGATCACCTGTTCCACACTTTTCGACGACGGGGCTCGCGGGTCGGGATCGCCTACTGGTACTGTACGCCACAGCTGCGAGCGCAGCATCTCGGCCGATGCTTCGGCAGCATGCTCAGGCAGCTAATGCCTCGGCTGCCAAAGCTGCCCCGGAGCATGGAGCTGATGTATGCCGACTACGTCGATCGTGAGCGGCGGCCCTCGCCGGCGCACGTCCAGGAAGTGCTCTGCGAGGTCATCACGGCATATGACCGCGTGTTCCTGGTGGTGGATGGCATTGACGAACTGTCCGGGCGGCAACACAGTCAGCAAGAAATGCTGGATCGGCTCTTCGCCTTGCAAGAACGGACGCAGAAGAAGCTTAACCTGCTTGCGACCTCGCGTCCTCTTCCGGAGATTGTCGCACGGTTTGAGGAGAAGGAGAGTGTCTGTATTGAGATCCAAGCGCATCAACAGGATCTGGTTTGTTATGTCCGGGAAAGGCTCTGTCGATTGCCGTATTTCGTACGCGGCAATCAGGAGCTCCAACAGGAGGTCATAAAGAATGTCACCCAGAATGTAGAGGGGATGTGAGGAACCAAGAAGTAACCCCGAACAACTTCTCCGCCTGTGGCTAACGCTTGAGCACCCGCCTCTATAGGTTTCTACTTGTCCAGCTGCGGCTTCACGCTTTGGCATCAACAACGTCAGTCTCGATGTTTCGAAAGAAGTTGCGCCAATTCAAAGAGGGAGGCGAGACCTGTGAAGATTTATATGAACATACCATGCGCAGAATCACTCATAAGGATGGTGGTCTCCGTGACGATGCTTGGAATGTCGCCCAGAGTGCGATTTTCTGGGTTTTGTGGTCCAGAAGGGAGTTGACCATACATGAGGTACGACATGCGGTTGCCGTCCATCCCGACTGCAATCCAATCAGTGAAGATGACATACCTCACATTGATCTTATCCTTTCTCTCTGTGGTGGCCTCCTACAGAGGGGGGCCACCAGTCAAAATGTGGAATTTGTCCACTCCACCGCTCGGAAGTACTTCGAGAAAACCTATTCCGAGTGGTTTCCGGGGGCCAAGGACAAGATTGTGAAGACATGCCTCACATATTTATCCTATCCAGCCTTTACGGGCGTGTGCAAGGATCAACAAAGCCTTCAAGAAAGACTCGATGCCTATCCACTGTATACATATGCCGCGCAAAACTGGGGATATCATGCTTGTCAATGCTCGGACTCTCTGACAGGATATATCAAAGCCTTTCTAGCCCGTGAAGCACAGGTCGACGCATGCAGTCAGGTGCTGATGCTGTTAACTTCCAACATGACAGACCGGTATGCTTCGCGACAAATGCTGGCACCCCACCTAGTGGCCTACTTTGGGCTGGACCGGGTCGCGGAAAGCATGGAATTGAGTGAAAACCCTGCGTTAAATTCCCCCGACGCAGATGGAAGAACACCGCTGTTGTGGGCTGCACGGAATGGACACACCGAAGTGCTGACCATGTTCTTACAGATGCAGAATGTCGATCTCAATCTACCAGACAAGGATGGACGAACCGCATTCTTGTGGGCTGCAGCAAAAGGCCATACCGCCGTATTAGAAACACTGTTGGCGACGGACCAGATAGACATCTACCATGAAGATGTCCAACGGCGGAACGCATTGACTCGTGCTGTCATTAATGGCCGAACGGAAGCCGTTCGGCTTTTACTTGACAGATGCCGCTTCGATATCAACTCCCCAGATAGAGAACGACGTACAGTCCTATGGTGGGCGTCAGCCAAGGGGCATGGAACAATACTCGAACAGCTCCTTCCAAGATGCACGGCCAAAACGGTCAACCGGAAAGACAAGCATGGATGGGATGCACTGACCCGTGCAGTGTACCGAGCTCACCAGCAGGTTGTGCATGTCCTGCTTACAAGCGATGCGGTCGAGCCAGATCATAGCCGCAAAGGCCACACACCATGGTGGTGGGCAATGAAGAACAAAGACAGCACTATCGCAAAGGCCTTCATGGATGCGCTGGACAGGAAACGGATTGATGCCAATACCATATGCGTTGGCAAGCGCACCGCGCTCTCTTGGGCCGCGGGCATGGGCTGCGAGGAGATAGTGCGCGAATTACTTGATCGAACCCCTGAACCGGATGACCTCAACACCAACAACAACGGAAGAACCAGAACAGCGCTATCCTGGGCGACCGCCGGGGGTTGTGTTTCAGTGGTGAAGTTGCTCCTTGAGGCACGTGGTATCAATCCGAACCAAGCTGACACCAAGAAGCGCACGCCGCTCTGGTGGGCTATTGCCAACAATAAGGTCTCGGTAGTGCGACTGCTCTTGACAAACCCTGCAGTGGACTTCAATGTCAAGGATAGCGTGGGACGAACGCCATTGTCATTGGGCGCTGGCCTGGGGCGTTCGGCCATCGTTGCTCTGCTGCTTTTGCACCGAGAACGTCTTCAGATCGACGTAAACGCCACGGACAAGCATGGGCGGACGCCGCTCTCATGGGCCGCGAGGAATGGCAATGGACATGTTGTCCAACGGCTCCTCGAAGTCGACGATGTGGATCCGAATGCGGTAGACGGACTCCGGCGCACACCCCTCATGTGGGCCATTATCAACGGCCATGCCGAAGTGGCAGAGAGAGTGATAATTGACGGAGAGCCCCTCGTTCAACTTGACCGGGTCGACCGGAAAGGCCGTTCGGCCTTGTTCTGGGCTGCGTGGGCTGGGGATGCAGCCACGATCTCCCTTCTTTCACAGAACCACGGGGTAGATTGCAATAAACGGGACCGATCCAACGAGACGGCCCTGTCGGTTGCGATCAGAAAAGGCTACAGCGAAAGTGCTCAAAGCCTTCTCCGAAACTACAGCGAGATCGAGGTCAATGCGGTATACAAAAACGGTCTGACTCCACTACACCTCGCTGCGCAGCGTGACGATGGCGCCACAGTGAACCTGCTTCTGCAAAAGGGAGCTGGCTTAGATCGATGTGATATCTTCGGTCGAACGCCCTTGTTCTTGGCCTGTGGAGTCCCGGGCAGGGTTCTGTTCTCTTTCCAGGGAATCATCGACCGGGTCAATCCCATGTTAAGAGAGGAATCATCCCTCTGGAGTCTACTTGATGCAGACGCGAACATGAATCACCAGACCGAGGACGGCTGGACACCGCTACACAATGCATGCAGAAAGGGAGATTCTGCAGCAGTGGACGCCCTCTTCCTCTACGGAGCGAAGGCTCTATTCCCGGACACGCAGTCCAAGGCGCCTCAACCCCTCGCATTAGCATCGCGACACGGGCATCTGAAAGTTGTGGAACGATTACTGGAACATCCCATGGCGCAAAGGATGGATCTAGAAAAGGCCTCGAAGATTGCACGCGATGGGCGCCATACGGAGATATACCGATTGCTTCAGACTCATATCGCTAAGCATCATGAGATTCAGCACCGACTGGTGTGTCGCAAGAAAGATCATCGTCCACAGATGAATCTAAGCCGTTCAAACACCCCTACTGACCATGAGCAGGAAGGGTCTCTATCCCAAGCAAGGACAGTAGACCAAGATTCTCCGGCCATTGGCATTGGTTTCCAACGCGAATCCCCCGCAGGATCGATCAGGGGCCATCCGCCTCCCATTACTGCGGATGACCACCAACTACCTGTACGAGGAAAAAGAAAGAATTGGAAACATTGGATCACCGACTTCATACGTTTGTGGAAGGACAGAAGGAAGGCCAGACTGGTGAGATGGAGGCATCGATCGACAAATTCCAGGAGACGGTGATTTGTATGAGATTTCAAAATTCCTACAAGAAATTCTTTTGCTAGTCCTTGTGTCTGCTGAGAAGGATTTCTGATAGAAAAAGCACCGTCTTAGCATCAGAGAGTTCAGCACACTTTAAGGACTCTTACGGGCATCGAGCAATGTTGTAGTCACAGTAGTCACAGTAGTCACGGTAGTCACGGTTCCATTTCCCTCCCTCGGTGATTCTTGTCTTTGGTTTTCGTAAATTCGGAGCATGGAGGGATCTCTATCAAGTAAAGTCGGACTCATTACGGAGTACACAAAAGCCATCTCACTATGATCCATCATTTGGAAGTGCTGTAGGGCTGGAGGTGGTAGTATAAGATCCAGTAAGCGTCTTGTGAGAAATGAGCTCAAGGGGATGTGAGTTGGAAGAAAGAACAACGAACAAAGAACAAACAAGCAAAAAAAAAAAAAAACGGATATTGCAGAGCGGCCCCTGCGAGACTCGAACTCGCAGCCTAATGTTTTCCGCGCTCCACATGCGCCGTGCACAGACGGAGTTGTGACGAAGCGACAAGTTGCATTAACTCTACCATTGAGCTAAGAGGCCGTTGGTCTACAGTATAGTACAAGGCAAACATTTCTTGGATAGCCCCGTGATTGCTTGTCAGAGTTCGTTCCGTGCCTGCAACTCCTGGTCAGATCTTAGTGTATTTTTCTAACAAGACATTACTGGCTGAATGCTGGCACTTAGCTGTGTAGCAGGCGAACCTGGACGAACAAGCACCAGCCTCCGATTTCTTCCTACAACCCTGTATCATCTAACTGCGCATCAGCGTGCAGGCGAACAGCAGCCGGAATTCCGCAAGCCCATACTTCCTCAGACGAAAGGATGCCGGCGGTTTCTGTCATGGTGTTCGGGGAAGACCATTGCACCACATTGTCTAGGAAGGAGTTGCAAGATGGAGGATCCATCTAGTTATTTGTGTTGGCTAGAGAAAAGTCCTGGCCGATCCATGACGGCTCAATCCCTAGTAGAGCTACGATAAGACACCGAAGACCCCTATTCTCTTATCGACAAGACAAGAACAGCAGCGTCTAGGGGTGATTAGACGCGCTCTCCTCTCAATAGCATGGCTGGGCGCCATTGTATCTCGTTCCAATCATAAAAACCCACATCAGGGAAAAATGCTAATGACGAAGTGGCCTTTGCCATGCGTAACCTATCTGTGCTGGTCACCAGTTTATGAAGGTCTCGAATTGGGTGGTACCTCCGGGCTACTAATACGCCGTGAAAGTGCTTCTGCGCTCAAAGGCACAGCACGGAAGCACTGTTGACTCGTCCAGCTTGATTTGGACTTATTCATCTCATATAAGAATGCATCCAAACTTAAATTCCCGGGTATCTATAGGTGTATCTGTATCTGTGTATATATGTCAAGAAATATAAACTCTATGCCTTCTCCGTCTGCCGTCCCTTCCGCATAGACGGAAGGAAAAACGCAGGATACACGACGGTAAGGGCGCCCACTCCCAGCGCGATCATCCTATCACATATGTTAGCCATGCTTAATCACTACCAGAGCGCATTTGGGCGAGGACGGCATACATTCCATCCAACACCAGAAACTCGTCTTCCTTCTGCATCAGGGGATTACCCCATCCACCGGCCATCTCGGGGATACTGTCAACAAGAGCATCGTTAGCAATCATCACAACGATGCGCATCCAACAACAAGGCAAAATGAAGCTGCCTACCGATAGATACACCGAATCAACACGGTGAAGTACGCAAAGATCTCCGCATAGATAACCAGTCGAATATGCTTCACTCCCTCCACGTTAAGATCACCACCCAAACCAGGCCCGTGCCGGACGACCCGAATGAAAAACTCCAGCGCGATCAGCCCGCACACCGACATAGTCGCCACCTGGAACGCGATACCAGCGATGATGATATCGTCTCCAACCTGCAGGAGGGTCTGGTCCGTCTTGCCGGCGGCGGCGGCGACACCACCTCCGGCCGCTTGGAGGACGAGGGACCCGACGTCACAGCTAATGAAAAGCCAGGTGAAGAGGCGCGGTTTGAGGCGCGAGTACTGCGGCCCCAGCGAGAGGACGATGTGCTTGAGGGTGAGGTAGATGCCTGCGGCGACGAAGGTGGGCGCCAGCACGAGGCAAACGATCTGTAGCTTGAACGCGTTCTCGTTCCACGGATTGTAATGCATTTGTATGCGCCCGATATACCCGGCCAGCTCCATGAAGGCGCCGATGACCATCGCGGTCGTCAGCGTCCAGGCGCGAAAGTAGATGCCGAAACCCAGCTGGAAGACGCCCAGGATGCCGTAGAAGACCGCGAAGAAAATGTTGCCGCCGAGGTTGGGGTAGTAGCCGTAGGTGGTCGCCTCGACGGGGCATTCTAGCGAGACTTTTTCGCAAGTGCCGTAACTCATGGTGATGGTTCTGAAGAGTTTCGCCGATATTGAGGTAGGGAACTTTCTGCTGGATTAAGTCTATGTGATCGTATTCAAAAATTGAAAATCAACAAGAACAGAATGAGAGAATGCAAAATTCTACCGACAACACGATGAAGGAATAACCGTTATGATAAGCAAAAGAACGACAAAGAAGAAAGGAAGAGATGGACGTGTTGTCTCCGACAAGGATTCATGCTCGTAATCTGGAGGCCTGAGGGGAGATCAGACCTATTTTAATACGGGGAATTGTTTAAATTGGTTCCTTAACCCCGATTGGGTGGCGTTTTGATGACTGGTGGATCGATCCATGAAATCAAGAGAAACGTGGTCGATAGCCACGGTAATTGGGTCGCTTTCGTTCTCGTTCTCGTTCTCGTTCTCGCAAGGCCCCACAAGCGGGGAGAACCGATTGACTTTTTCGACCTCATCTTCGGCTAATTCAGGTCAACACGCATTAATCAGCGTTGTCGCGTCTAGGTTCCAAGGGTCAAGAAGTTGTGGGAAGTAACGTGATCTCAAATGTCTTCACAAGCGGCGATATCTGCATTAGATAGCGCAGCAAACGGGGCAACTGCATATGACAGCTGGGACAGATGGCCAGTCCGTTCGAAGACCTCCGCCTCGATATGCATGAAGGCTAATTTAACATTAGCGAATCCAACGCTTCCTCCTTCTTCAGCCATAAATTCTTCATGCCGGATTGATTGCGTTGCTGTTTTGTTGATGACAATAACCTAATAAGATCCGGACGCAGATGGTATCCAAGAGCAAATCCCCTAACAGACATCGATCACTCCTTCTCACTTGCACCAGCTTCTACCTCGTTATCTGTGTTTGTCAGGTCTGTCAAGTCTGTCAAGTCCATTCCTCTGACGTGGTTAATGGTTCGACAACATACCTGACCGTCTAGGTCTGAAGGAAAGAACATAGAAGATAGCCGCAGTGTACATGGACACAACAATAGTCTGCCCTAGACATTCCGTCACCAGGAGTTCTGTCCATCCATCCTCGTAACCATCCCACACTATACCAACTATATCGACAGCCCCAATCAATGCGTACCCCATCAGTGCGATGACTATGCTGTAGCTAAGCCCAGCCATCCGGACGCAGAACCAGACACTGAACGCTGGTGGAGCTGAGTGGAACAATCTGCGCCAAAAGGGGGCCCATCCCGGCGACGGAGGAAGCGAGGACAGAATATCTGGCATCTTGTTGGATAAGATGTCGAAGAGTATCGGGAGAGGTCCTGTAAGCATGTACTGTATGGTGATAGCAGTGCCGATCCAGAAAAGAGACGACAAGACCGTCTGAAAGTTCCCCATGGCGTAGTTAGGTCACAGAACTCTTTTTCGACTCCGATATTGTCAGTTCTCGGAAGGGATGATATAAAATGGATGATGAGGGTAATCGATGCGAGCTACGGCTGCTGGCACACTGCGTATGTGAATGAAGGACGTTGAAGGGTTTTCAAGAATGCCTCTTCTTCTTGTAAGGCTGATCTCCGACCATACTCCGATGTTGAGTACCCACAGCAGGATACATAGCTGCGCTGTGCGGGGAATTGGGACGAAACCTAACAAATCCCCATTGAAAGCTTGGCTGAGGCTCTGAGCTAAAGTCAATAGTTCAAGAGATTCAGGGGTTGGACAATTCAGTGATGAAGCTGACTATTTGATTGAATCGTTGTTTACAGTCGACCCACTGCTCTCAGATGTGGGTCGGCTCGCTCCCAGCGTGGGCGGGTATGGAATAACGATTCTGAGCTCACTGCTGAGCTAGAAGACAGCATGCATTAAAGGATAAAAGAATGAGCCTAGTATACTGAGGATGGATGGGGCCTTATGTGCTGAGCCTGAATTGTTTGATCTCTGACAGTACAAGCCAATGCTGTAATGAGAATGTCATACTCAAGCAGTGGCTTGTTTTACTAGTGGCCGTAGTGGGTAACCTTCCAGAACTGCCAGGGTGATAAGTCTGGCGCACGTGACCTCTACCGGCTTTCCCCGACGTGTCTCGCTCTCTCTCCCCACGTGGGAGAATCACCGTTGATTTATCTTCCTCAGCAACCCCGTCGAAATGGAAGATGCCGCCTCGGAGGACCCATACAAAGTCACGCAATGGCTGTGACCAGTGTAAAAAGCGCCGAGTCAAGGTACGTTGCGTTTTTCTTCCCATGCCTTTCGGATGTGCCTGCCAACTCAATGCACTGCGCCACAACTCCGGACCTCTAATGTTCAAGTATAGTGCGATGAACAAGGCCCACCTTGCTCGAACTGCACAAGCCGCGAGCTCAAGTGTACATACTTTAAGGCCCCAACAACTCGAAGCACCATCAGTTCACCATCTACCAGCTCTATACCTGCTTCAGTCCCGTCCGTCAAAGGATCATCCCCCGAAATCGCAAGTCACAGCCGGACTTTATCCCGGTATGGCAGCTCTGCTCCGCCGAAGTTTGGTAGCACACGAGAGCTGGAGTTGATGCACAAATACGCCACGGAGACCTATCAGAGTCTGTGCAATGAGCCAGTAGACCACTACACCTGGCAGACTGTCATCGCGCGAAAAGCTTTCCAGCATGACTTCCTCATGAGTGGGTTGCTTGCTGTCGCCTCGCTGCATATCGCTGCCACCATGGACCCACCGGAGGCTCTGTCCTATATTGACACCGCATTGGAGTATCATGACCGAGCATTTGCTCCGTTCCGGCACGCAATAGACAACCTGACTCCTGCCAATTGCGATGCTGTCTTTGCGCACTCGGTTATTACCACAGTCATTGGCATTGCCCTGCCTCGGCTATCTTCTGACAGCCAGGAGACTAACACAATGACCGAGAACATCATCGTCGTTTTCGAGTTGCTTCATGGTGTTAGCAAGATATACACACTCAGTCGCGACCATCTGTCCACGCAACTAGTCACTTCTCGAAAAGGATTCTGGGAAACGCAACTCTCAATCCTCGACGCCGAGACTGAGACCGCCTTCGATAGACTGACTAGCTTGAGCCACGCCATGCAGGACAGCATTAGTGAAGAGCAATATCGCATTATCGATGGAGCGATCGCACTTCTGAGGCGCTGCTTCTGTAGATACAACCATGCTCGCGATATAGCATCCGTTCTAGGATGGCTTGCGATGGCTAGCAAGGAGTTTGTGCATGCATTGAGGTGTCGTCAGCCTCTTGCGCTACTCGTTCTCATGCATTGGGGAGCACTTCTAATGGAGCTTGATGGTAAAGTGTGGTGGGCCAAGAACTCGGGCAGGGCGCTGGTTTCTGAGCTACTAAGTGCTCTTCGTCCTTGTGATACACAGTGGGAGGGTGCTTTGCAGTGGCCAGAACGGAAGATTAGAGCTTGATCTCGACTGCAATCGACGCAGTCTACTCTTCAACAGCACTGCATTAGACTTTTGCATGGCCTGTGCCTGCTTGGAACCGAAACCGAAGCACTACCCACAGCTACTAGACCAAAGTGAATCATCACGACATAACATCACGGACAGCCCAAACTAAAGCTTTACTGACCGCAACACTCGCTCCCATGCGTCTGTGGCCCGTTGCTTATTGATTCTGTCTGCATCATGTTGACATGCTGCCAAACTCAACGGACCACCAAGCTGTTTTAACCAGAATGACCGACCGCAATCAAACAACCAATTGCGTGAACCAACCTTGACCAGGTCCGCAAGGAAACACTGCGGCGTAGCTCGATCTTTCACAAAAAGTACCGTCGGTAAAGCATGTCGCATGCCTTCTGGGGCGTACATATCCGCCAATTGCATAATTCCGTCTAGCGTCGTCTTCACATATAGCTGCGATCCACTATGAATAACCCCTCGCGTACCCGCAACCGCGTGAAGAAGACATGCATTCGCCACAAGGTCAACCGGCATCTCATCCAACGTATTCGCACCACTATCATAGCCCTCAGCCGCGTGCCAGGTCTGCATTTCGCCATGTGTCATCAGAAATAGCGAGGCGAATCTCTTCAACGGGATGGAATTCTCCGGCGCATAATGCGGATACGGATCCCTGACTGCAGGACCAAAGATTGTCGGACGCACCAGCAACATGGGCAGCGTGGGGAACCGTTTCAGCATCAGCCGTTCCATCAAATACTTCGCATGGGTATAGGATGACGAGAAGTGCTCGGCGTACGCGGAGCCTTCGCCTCTGAGGATTGCCGCTAGTAGCTCCTCCGGATCATCCTCCTTACCCTTCCCCCCCACCTCCACCCCAACGGAGTACAGCTTCTCCGCCACGTGCCCATCCGGCAAGAAACTGTTCACATACGCCGTCGACACTTGCACGAAGAGCTTCAACCTGCGGAACCGCGAGGCGATCTTCGCCATCTCCAACGACGGGAGACAGTTGTTCTCCACCGCCTCCGCAACGTCCGCGTCCAGGGTGATTTTGGCAGCCGCGTGGATCACCAGCGTGACCTGCTGGCGCAGCTCATCCATCACCGCCGCATCGATCCCAAAGTCCGGCTTCGTCATGTCCCCCACCACGAAATGAATTTTTCGGGAGTGGAGGACCGGCTGCGTCTGCACGGGCATCGCCTTCTTCCACTTCTGGATCGCGAGGTCCGGGGACCCTCGGATCAGGACGTAGATCTTGTGAGTAGGGACCTGCACCGCGAGTTTGTAGAGGAGCACGGCGCCCAGCGCGCCGGTGCTCCCGGTGAGGAAGACGGTGTGTTTCTCGAATAAGGTTGCATAGCCTCTGCGTTTGATCTCTTCCTCGTGCAGTGAGGGGGTGGAAAGGAGGGCGAGGGACATCAGGGGCTTTTCCGATTGTGTATATCTCGTTGCGCTGTATATCGCGTAATCCGCTGTCTCTGTGATAGAGCAATGTGCAATGATAACTACTGATGCAGTATCCGCAACTTTTGGACGCCAGCAGCTTTCGCGATGCTAGAGCCCTCCTTCTGTGCATTATGCAGCTACCACAATACAATGAACAGAATCCAGTGATTCCTTGCTGCAACCGAGTCAGTCAAGTAGACTTTTAAAAAGAACCGAAGGGAGGTCGCACAAGCCCATACACTCTCCACCTTGTAGAGCGACCGACCTACATAAAAGCATGTTGCAGCTACCTCGTCGCTAGTTAGGTAGTCATGTGTAAGACCAACAAAACCAATCCCGCACCCTTCCCTCTCCTTCCTATTCCACTCTCTTTCTTTTCACATGCATGACCATTAAATAAACTGTACGCACATGCTTCAACCCCAACCAGCCTCTTTCCCGATGCTTGCTATACACAGAGATCAGAGTTTCTGGTCCAGCTTGGCTACTGCATTTAGAGAGAGTCTCAACCCTGCTCAGACTAATCATCGTGGACATCCTTCTCCATATCAGAGTGTCGAGTATCCGAGGTGAACGCCCCCCAAACCCAAACCCCTAGCCTACTACATACCATGAAAAGAATCAGGTTTCGATCCTCATACAAGAAGCTAGGGACATGAGCTTACAATATACCTCCCCATCTGCCTTATCCACATCGTATCTTCCTGGAATGTTCCTGCGAGGTCTAGTTCGGGGTCAAGGCCAGACAATTCATCGGTAAACAAGATAATGCCAGCGTTTGGCCAAGTGATTTCAAGATATAAGGATACGCCCGTGGCTCGCTACGTGCAACCATTGCGCGTTCCGTGCGGGAGGGCGAGGAGAGCTATGGTCGAGGGGGATAAGGGCAGGGTCCTCACAATATGGGTGCATCTCATGTGAAGAGCGCACATGTGTGACGTGGGCTACATGTACTATGGGGAGCTCACCCGAGGTTGACGTGGGTTGTTGTTTGTGCGTCTGGTTTCTATTCCCTTCTACCCTTCGGGTTTAGGGGTACAGGATACCGGGCATAAGGCATATTACTAAAGGGAAAAAAAGAACTACTCGATCGGGATCTGGTGCCTTGCGGTGGGAAACTCGGAACTCGGTTGCTTTGTATATATGTGTGTGTGGATAATGGAACAGGTTGCGGTCACCCTCGATTCTTATACACTCTAAGATAACTATAGTACATACCCGTCGTTACCCCTTCTGGACGACTCACTGAACAAATAATCCAGATCATATACCTACTGGCGGACCAAGTCACGAACAGCCGCCCCAGTTGCTACGAGAATGAATGCCCCGCTTTCGTAAAGCAGAAAAAAAAAAAAAAAAAAAAAAAAAAACCAGGGCGAAAGTCAGAGGAGACATAGATACACACATACATCGACACATACATACAGCATCATATGAAGTAAATTGGGGAAAAGCCAGCGAAACCCTCTTGAGACCGGTCTAGCCAGCCCGGTCCAGAGTCATCTGAAATGATTATGTATACTTTAGAAGGAAAGAAGAGATGTGAAATGGTTTAGGAGGTTTTGTTTCCACCCCCGCCGCACCAACACCGGCCATCTCCTTCGCGCTCGACCTGAACAAGGATGTCCATGTCTTTCTCGCGAAGATAGTTGACTGTGCGTTGGCGGACGTCTTCGAGGTCAGCGCCGCGGGAAGCGATAACATGGATCACGCCAAGAAGTTTGAGGTTATGGCTGTCGT